CTTCTCACATGTATTCTCATTTTTATAAGAAATCTGTACCAAATTTAATTCCATTGTTTCTTTTCCTTAGAAGTTCATTAAAAACAATTCCCTTGCAAGATTGTGAGTGTCCTCAGTTTGTATAAATTAGAGCTTAGATCTCCAAGCTGTGTACCATATTGTCCGTCCATCCATGGGGAGGTTTTGAAGAAGATATTCTCTTTGAAGGCTTTGCTCTTTATAAATGATATTCATTTTTTATTTCCTGGTAAGATTACATTTAGCCAGTTCTGGTGGTCTTGTGGCTAAGATTCAGGGCTCTCACTGCCCTGGTCCGAGTTCATGACACCACCATCTCTTGGTTGTCATTCTGTAGCAGCTGTGTGTTATTGTGATGCTGAAAACTATACCACCAGTATTTCAAAAACAAGCAGAATCACCCATGGTGGACACATTATGGAAACTTTTGGAAAATGCCATTGAAATTCTATAAATATTAGAAAGTATACAGCTTTTTCCAAAGTGTGTCAGAGGAATACTAGTTTCAGAGGATCTTAAGAGAAAAATATCCTGTGACTAAAAATGTTTCTGAATTTCTGAGTTAAACATGTTTATTTACTGTAGGAATTTTTAGGGAAATGGTTCTTAGTCTTAAAGTGCATCAGAGTCACCTGGGAAACTTAGTAAAATTGAAGATTTCTGGAACCTACACTCAGAGATTCTGGCATAATACATCTAGGATAGGATTGGGTATATACGTTTTTAACAAGCATCCCAAATGACTCTGTTACAGATAGTAAAGAAATATTGTCTTAGAAATTTTAATATTTTAATAACTTTACAATTTTTTATAAATTTCAAGAGGTAGTTATACAGAGCAGCTTTTCACTGATTTCCATCTGATGATGAAATTTTTTTTTTATCTTAATTTGATAGTGTTCTTTGGGAAAACTGTTTGAGAAATGCTGGAACACAGAGTTCTTTTGGAACATCTTTCCAGATCAATTTAAATAATAGATGTAGTATTAACTAACTCAGTAACTTACTTCTTATTTATTTATAAGGTACACCTGAAATTTGGGATAGCAGCTCATAAAAAGAGAATGCTATTCAAGCATAAACTAAGTGGCAAAGTGTTTACATAATGGCCAATTCAGTTTCCAATTGTCAGCTGTTACCAGATTTAAAAACATAAATACTGTCTTAAAATTAAAATATACAAGACTAGCAAAGAACTTAAATAGGAAAAGTACATAGCTCTTTAGGACAAGATTTTTTTAAAGATTTATGTATAAAAATATTTACTCATGCTCAGCTATTCCATGTGTTTATTCGCGGTTGAAATCTACATGTTACATTTTACAAAGAAAAGCTGCAGAATTATTCAGAAAAAGTTATTAGAGTTGTAACCCTTCCTGCAGAAGTTTTCTGCTAACTTATTGTGTGAACATGAATATTGAGCATTTTATCTAGATTTTTCTGCTTGAATAAATATGTAGAATTTTATATACCTAAATTTTCTAGCTATTTCTTTTCTTGATTATTCTTCCAAAGTAAATATGGCCTACATATTGGACTTGATTTTTCAGAACTAACTAACCAAAAAATTTCAGAGAATTAAAATAGTCCACATTTTCTACTTTTTATCCTACCAGGAAGTACTGAGCTTGTATATTCAACATTCCAGAAATATGAAGTTCTGCTTTCATTATTTTTATTTTGATTCTAAGGTGGTTCCTGTTTATTCTAACCCCTCTCTCACATTAAAAGGGTCAAACGTGTTTTAAGATGATTCAGTCATCCTGTGGCTTCTCAGGTTGAGTTCCTAGATGATGTCGACCTCTCATCTTTTCTCAAGCTTCTCCTCCCACAAATATTTTAAACATAGTAAACTTGGGGGAAATGTTTTTAAAACATTAAGAACAATCTTTTACCACAATTGGTATTAAATGTAGATGACTTTGTCATGCAAAGAACACTTCACTCAAAAATAAAATAACATAAAAACATACGTAAATAAAGTGGAGCAGCTCTGCTTGACAAGGAGCAGGGGACACAGGGTCCCAGTCATGTGATTGCCTCCCTCTCTTGGCCTGGCAGGCATCTCCCCATGTGGCAGCTTGGCTTTGTGAAACACTGGTTGGAAATGGTGGTGGAGATAATTATTTAGTTATAATTTTTAGTGGTTGTTGTAATAAGTGGGTAGGTAGATAGCTAGATAAATGCAAGGTATAAAATAGTAGAATCTTTCCAATGAAAAATTAGGGGAAAAATAAAGAAAGCTCTGTACGTGAACAATATGTAGTTAATAAATTACAGGTTGGAGGATTATGGGTAGGAAATGATTTCGCCCTGCAGGTTCATTTATGCAGAAGAACTAAGGAGAATTTCAGGTTATTGTTGACTTCACAGATTAAAGGTACCCTGGTATATTGTTGGGGGAAATATAATTAAAAGCAAAATCTCCCCCAACCCAGAAAACTTCTCCACAAAGTCTAGAAGAGACGAAAGCACTTTTATTACTGAACAAGCATCAAGAGAGAATGTGATGTGCCTCACGGGCAAGCTACCAGGAGACGGCAAAGACAGAGAGAGACCTTGCCCTTTATGTAGCCAGACAGACACAGCTGATTACACACGTGTTCTCAATATGAGTGAGAACCAGTCCTCAAGGAAGGCGACTTGGTAGCAATAATTGTCACACAGAGTTCATCCTAGCTTTAATGGGTAATTGGGGTGTTAGTTAATTGGCAAAATTGAGTCTCTTCTAATTTTCATTTGCTCTTACAAGATAAATCATCTAAAAAATGTATATTCATCTTGTATGACTTTCTTCCTTCATTTGTTCTTTATTTCTCCCAATGAGTTTAAAAAATTGTTTAAGAGGGGGCCAGCCCGGTGGCGCAGCGGTTAAGTTCACACGTTCCACTTCTCGGCGGCCCGGGCTTCGTTGGTTCGGATCCCAGGTGTGGACGTGGCACCGCTTGGCACGCCATGCTGTGGTGGGCGTCCCACGTATAAAGTAGAGGAAGATGGGTATGGATGTTAGCTCAGGGCCAGGCTTCCTCAGCAAAAAGAGGAGGACTGGCAGTAGTTAGCTCAGGGCTAATCTTCCTCAAAAAAAAAATAAATAAAAAATTGTTTAAGAGAAATATTCCAAGCTAGCAGCAATAAAGATAGAGAATAGTGTTTAATCCCACTTCCCTCTGTGCTTCTATAATATTTATATCCTCTTATCACATTCCTAGATTTTCTTGATGCTGAAAATTATTTTAAGCCAGTGCTACATTTGTAGTTTTCTTAAAAATGATACCTTATTTAGCAAATGTTTACTGAATGCAAAGTGCTCTCAGGCACTAAAGGAGATAAATACAACTTTGAATTAAACAGATGCTCATTCATTTATTCATCAGCCATCTGAGTGCTTACTATTTATCAAACAATGTGCCAAGTGTACACCAGGCATACAAAGTCAAGTGAATTGAAACTATTGTCTTCAAGAAGCCCAGCCTCCTATAGAAGATAGTTAGTGAACAGTTATGTGATGATGGGTAAAAAGTGCAAGATGGTCCATGTAGAAGAGGTTCAGAGAGAAGACGGGTTTATAGCCCAATGAGAATTGAATTAGCTATGCACAAAAACTTGTGTATGTTTGAAAAAGATGAAGGGGAAATATATTTAAAGTGTGAGTTTAGGAGAGATATAGCAAGCCTTAAATTCCATATTTGAAGTTAGTGTTGGGGTATGACAGGGACAACTTAAAAATTCTTTTCTTGTAATATGACTAGTGATTCCAATGAAATATGGTAGCTCAGAAGGTTTTCAAGTTTTTTAAGCAGTTAATAACATAGTCAGGACTAAACATCGGTTGTCTTGACTCTCAGCCTGCATTCTGGATATCACACTATGGAGAAGTTTACTGATCCTCTGAAATGGGTTTTGATGGGTGGGGATAAAGAGGCATTTTAGAAGGCCCCAAACATGAGATTCCTGAGCTCCCAGGTGAATATGTAATGAGACTCATTTAGGAGATGAATTAATTTCTGTCATTAGAATTTTTAGTTTCTCTAAAATCAGACCTGCAACACACCTTCTTAAAACTCTCAATATTTTCCCATTGCTTTTCATCCAAAAACCTTAGCATTAGTGGTAAGACCCCTCATCATCTGTGCCTTGTTCATCATCCCCCCACCTCTTTTACTACTATCCTCAACTTGCAATTTATACTCTAGTGATTATGGAACAAGTTGCAGTTCCCTGAATTTTGCAGTGCTTGGTCTGCTCCATAGCCATTTCGTATGCTGCTACCTCTGTCTAGAATGCCATGCCCTAAGTGCTTGTATTCCGAGGAGTATTCCCACTCATGCTTCGAGATTCAACTTAGCTAATGCTTCCTCTGGGAAGGCTTCCCTGTCTCCTTTCTCAACCATCTCTAAAAACTAATTGAGATCCCTTCCTAGGTACTGCATAACCCTCTCTGTTTTCCTGCATTTTCTCACTGTGCTATAACCATCACTTGTCTCCTCATCTGTAAAGGAACTTCTTTGAGGGTAGAAACCCTCTTTTTTCTTCTGAATTTTTAGTGGTTATACCTTAACATTCCTTACAAAATCAGAAGTATTCATTACATAGGTGTTTAGATGGATAGATAGATAAATGAGTAGATGAATGGATGGATGGATGAGCGGATGGAAGGATGAATGGCTTCTTACAACATGTAAGCAAATTGCTCGATTAATATGCATGATATAGCAGAAGACAGACTTTCAAAATATAGAATTAAAAGTCAAATATTCAAAAGTGATCTATTGATTTATGAAAGTGTCTTTCTTATTAAAAACTCAGTTTCTGAATTTAAAACAATGTAAATTCAGAGTTCTTCCTATTATACTGGCTTATTTCGTGTCTTTCTTAAGCATGGAAGTTGGAGTATTGAAATGCTCAATATGATTGAAGGTTGTTGCTCACTGATGTCACTATTTTCATGTGACTTTCTTCAGCTGATTTCTATTATTTTTCAGGAAAAAATCCTATTACACTGACCGGAGGAGCAAATCAATGGGCAGGTTGGTGGATGATGCATAATTTGTTTGCAACCAATTTGTCATTTTGGGGAAAAAAAATAAAAGAAGACATTCGACTATCCACATCAGCAGTTGTAAATTTCAGGAAGAACAATTTTATTGATTTGCTCAAAATATTTCCAGAATGACTGTGCCAAATTTAACAATGTTACATTCAGATCATCTCTTTTCTGTTTACCATTGCAGTTCCTGCAATCCTCCCTTGTAATGTTGTGGAAGGAGGATTTTAATTGCAAGTTAGCATTTCAGGAGATTTTAATTTTAAAGATAGTTTTAAAACCAAGATCAAAGTAAACAATGACCCATCAGAGACCTTCTGGATCATTCAGTCTAAATCTCTTATTTGACAGAAGCGGCAAAGAAAAGACATCCAGAGTGATGAAGTGGTGTACCAAGGCCGTAGAGCTTCTTTTGAATCACAGAGCTATTCTAATTTCACCAACTGAAGCTGTCTCTTTTATCCTAGTATTGAAAACAACCTCTTTTCCAGAGCTTCATCTCAAAACAACATCTCTTTACCTAGTCTGGTAACAGAAGCTAGGACAAAGCAATTAATCAAACCACAACCCTGAGACAGAGGAACCTCTCCCACCCGAATAGCCTTGGCCTCCTTTCATGGGGGAAATGAGCTTCCATTTAAGGAACTCTACAACCCAAAGGCTTCTTACGCTGTGCTGTTTTTCTGTTCATTGTAAAAGAATCAATTAACAAAAACAAAATGTGAATGTGGTAGAGTATGCCGTTAAACAATTTGCAGAATCTTACAAGTCAGAATGACACAAAAGCTGGAAGAATCATTTAGTGTAAATATCAGACCATTTTAGGAAGGATTCGATAAATCTAGTTCCTTTAGCAGGGAAAATGGCTGACTATAATAAAGAACTTTAGAATAGGAAAAATTTGAATTTTAGAATGGAGACTATTGATCTCTCTTAAACATTACATTCAGGTGTGGTAGGAATGGGTGGCAGAAAAGTAAATCATGGGGGAAAAAACCTTGAAATTAGAATGAATATTAAAGGAATTAGTACTCAAATGACCTTTAAAAAATTATTAATGATGCTCCTCAGGTCAGATTTTTCTGTTTGTCAAGGTAACGTGCTCAGATTAGAATGAGCAGTCAGTATTTCCCTTGTGCCTGTTTGGCCCTGTCTACATAGTAAATGTCCAAAGTTGTTTTTGCATAATAAAGTCAAAGTCATTGGAATATTATGGTATACAAATTTACAACTGCAGGTTTTTCTTGTTTTTCTCTGCATGTGCCTGCTTAATGTTGGATGTGTTGATAAAATATCTTTGGGTTTGCTTCCTTGTGCTCTATAGAATTAGTGAGGTTTTGCTACTGTATAATAAGTGGGTCTTCTGATAAACAGGCATCTTTCTTTCAGAGACTTGCAGAAGGATAATATCCTGCATAGTAAAATAGCAACAAATGTCTGTATATGTAATACTGTCATAATTTAGTTTTAGAGTAAACTCATGTTTCGAATGCCTGATAAGTCCTAACGAAACAACATTTTTAATAATGGAAAAAATCTTTTGTTGTATTTTGGTAAAACTTAGTAAACTAGAAAAATGAATACTTTATTATATGTTGTAATATGTTTTATTATCTTTTGTATTTATTATTATTTTGTTTAATTTGATGAATGAAAATTCAGTTATCAGTTATTCCAAATGATTATTAAAGTATCCTAGATATTACTAATAGCGAACCTCTTTACAATTTACTTATTACAAATAGTTCTCTTTGTTCCTTGACTTTCTGGATGCATATGGGGAGGGTAGTGAATAAATAGGAAGGCGTTTATAAATTTTATGACATATTAAACTGCAAAAAAGAATGTTGTGTTAGTTGCCCAAGTTCAAACTTTCTTAAAGAAATGACTGATTTTGGTTTGTTTTAACTACCTTTGGAGAAGAAAATTTAAATGCTGTGTGTGTGTGTTTGTGTGTGTTCATCATTGTTATAAAATTGTAAAACTCAATTTGTAGACAGTTGGAAAGAGTGAAACTAAAGTCAAATTTGTGCACTTAGATTTCACTTGGATCTTCCTTTCTTGAAGTGGGAAAGAGGTTTTGTGCCTGGGTATTTTGACCAGTAAACACTGAGGGATAAATAATGTACAGGCAATCATCCAGCTTTTGAAGATCGTCGTTTCTCCAGGCAGGTTGATGGGAAATGATTATAGTTTTAATATTGCTGCTGTTTCTATCAACCTGATCAGGGAAAAGAAATGACTCCGTTATCACCACTCCCCACCACCCCACACCTTATCCTTCAGCTGTCACAGCTGATTTGGTAGAGTTTGTGCTCTGACCAAGTTCTTTTGATCCTTTAATCCAGATTTCTTTGAATTTCCATAGAATTCTCTCCTTTCCACTGATTTTAGCAAAGGAACTTAAAGCTCTATTGGAAGTCATCTTCCCATTATGCCATAAAATCTTGAGCCTGCAAGATGGCCAACATGGTAAAGATTTGGTGGAGTGTAGTTACCCTGGTGGCATGGTGGTGGGAGTGGTACTAGGAGTAATAGTAATTCTCCTTTTCCTCATTATTATCATAAACATTTATTGAGTGCTTACTGTGTGCTGGGCACTGTTGTATCAGGCATTACCTATTTAATTTTCAAAATAGCACTTCACTTAAGAGATGAGAAAAATGAATGAGAATCAAAGAAATAATTAATTAATTAACCACAACTTTGCATCCTGTGATTCAAATCCAGCCCTGACCACATATCACTGTTAGGCATCATTTGCTCCTTCATGGGAAGCGTGTACAAAAAGCCTAAACTGATAATATTATTTATTTTCTGTAAAAAGATCAGTGATGGTCTGAAAATCCTTTTATTTCATTGAAAAAAAATTTTTTAATTCCCATTCATTTCTAGTATGTTTGTAATTATTCCCGAAATAGTAGTTTAGGTTCTGTGGCTCATCAGCGCTTTCGAAGTGGTCAGAATGGTTCCATTTATTTGATCCTTCTAGCCAACTAGTGATGTAGGACAGGTGGGATTACTTCCTCTCTTTAGAGATGAGAAACCTGAAGCTCAAAGATTGGAAATGTTTGGCTCAATTTCAGTGACTGGCCAATTAACTACTGGAACATTCATCTTCCAGCTCCTGTCCCATTGTTTTCTTCACTATGCTAAGTTTGCAAAGCTGGAGTAATTGTTTTCTACATGTCTGTACCCTAGTCGCTAGGATATGGCGACAGTCTGTGGTTTCAGAGACTTTCTCTATAATGAGAAAAAGCAAAATGAACACCTCAGATACTGCTCATTTATTATTTTAGACTAGAAAGAAATACTTTGGTTTCTCCAAAACCAAAAATGACTTGGCATCTAAATAATACCCTTACTTGGCAAAGGAAAGGTCCATATTTTTTCACATGCTAAATTTTACATCAGGACTCGATTCATTTTTTTTTCTTTTCTTTTTTTCTTTCTTTTTTTTTTTTTGAGGAAGATTAACCCTGAGCTAACATCTGCTGCCAATCCTCCTCTTTTTGCTGAGGAAGACTGGCCCTGAGCTAACATCTGTGCCCACCTTCCTCTACTTTGTATGTGGGATGCCTGCCACAGCATGGCTTGCCAACTGGTGCTGTGTCCGCACCTGGGCCACCGAGAAGCGGAACGTGCAAACTTAACTGCTGTGCCACCATGCTGGCCCCAGGATTTGATTCTTATTTCAAATTTTATATGGTAATTTTACCATAATAGACTTGAATAAAATAATTCGTAAAATACAATGTTAACTGCCTGCATATTGCTGTACTAAATTTTTTAAATTTTAAGCAGAGTTTGCCAAACAAATGTTAAGATACATTGTACTTGTCTGGGAAAATATTCTATCCTGCTACTATTACTATTACTGTTTATTACTGAGTTACTATTACAGAAGCCCAAAATTGCCAAATATAAGACCTCATAAATAGTGTGTAAATATTGCACTTTTTTCTAGTAAACACAGCTGTTATTAGAGTAGCTCAGAATTTAGATTTTCAGACTCAGTCTCTGGAGTCAGTATCTCTTTCTTGTTTTCCTCATAAAATAAGTATGATTCCAATCAGTATATATGCCTCAGTAGAACTGGCTTCTGACTGTGATCTGAAGCCGAGGCCACGGTGTCCTGACGTAAGATTTCCTGAAACAGTATCGTAATGTTATATGCTGTGGTCCATGCTAAATCCATTCCTCAAAGTGCCCTTGGTGGATGGCAGCATGCGATCCCCAAGGAGCTAGTCAGAAATGCAGAATCTGAGGCCCCGCCCCCGGCCTACAGAATTAGCATCTGCATTTTAACAAGATCTTCAGATGATTCATATGCCGATTAAAGTTTTAAAAATACAAAGCTTTTGTACAAAAATACAGAGCCTTTGTACTGCGAAGGCCTTTTGCCTCAACTTTTCTTATTGTTAATGATCAGGTTTAAATTAAAACACCAACTCACAGCTCTCCAGCAAGGTCAGTATTATTGTCTTTATTTCATGAGTGAGGAAACGGAGGCAAGAAGAAGTTAAATAATTTGTACAGGTTCACACAGCTACTACAATGCACAGCTCCCTTTGTACCCAGTTTTGCTTGACTCCGAAACCCTTGCTGTTTCCATCACACTGATGGCTCCTAGCCTTGCTGAATGAGCGTGTCCTAGCCATGTATTTCTTTTCCGTCTCCAGTTTTGTAAAGGCACATCTCTGTGGATTTGTTAAAGAGTCAGGGAGTGCTCTATAGCTACATGTAGACATATGCATACGTACACAGACACACAACTGGAATAAACATGCCGTGCTGCTTTTATTGTTGTGTGTTCTTTCCTACCACCATCTTTATGTATGATGATTCTTTAATATTTTTCACAAGATTTTTCCTACTTACCCTGAAATAGTTTAAACAAATGCAAGATTTGCTGTGACTTGGAATTAATTTCTTTTTGTGGGAGCAGGAGGAAGGCATGTGTGTGGATGTGAGTGTGGGTGTGTGGATGTCTTTTTTGAAACTCTTTCTTGCAACGGTAGTAGAAGGTGGGCAGAGCTCTGCAATGCAACCTAATCTGCTTCTAAAATGTGACTTTGTTCCAGTGTGCAACATTATTTTAAAAGAATCAAAAAATGGATGGCCCAAAACCCAATGGTTCTCGACAAGACAGCTTTTCCAGACCTGGAGAACTCAGATTGCTATACTGGCCCCTTCAGCCGTGCACGGATCCACCAGTGAGTTCCCTTTCTCTTCTCTCCCACCACCTGCCTTGGCACCTTGCATTATCTGAGAGTAGCTGACAGAATAAAAATACCTGGAACCAGTTTCATTGTTTTCCAAATAAATCAGAATGTATCATTGTATTGAAATGTATACCTAACTTATAAACAACATTCAGTGAACATTATTAATTCTTTATCAGCTATGATTTAGAGACATTCAAGTAATGAATTATTAATTATAAACTCATGGGTTGATGGTCTAGCACCCAATTCTTTCAAAATAATTACTATTGTAGTAACTCACCTAGTTAAAGTAACTAATGATGATAATAGTAATAATAGAATTACTATTAAATACCATATTTGAATAATGGATTGTTCTAATTAATAAATTATTATATTTATAATTGAATTTAATTAATATGTGCTTATTAGTTTGATTCATTTTAGTTTAATTTTATTAAACTAAGGTGAATGGGTAATTTTTTTAAGGATTTGTTCATGACTATCTATCTTTTTACATACTAACATAACTTTATTCCTTTATCATTCAGCTAGTATTTATTGAGTTTCTACAGGATACAGATTGAGGATGTGACATAGTTCTTGCCTTCATGGTACTCCCAGTCTAGTGGGGCAGACAAAAATGTAAATTAATAAATAAAATAGGATAAATATAAAGATAGAGCAATGCACACTGTACTATATGGCTACAGCTATAGGGTCTTCTTTGCTGTACACTCTTCTGGATTGACTTATATTCTGGAATATGGGAAGTTGAGAGTGAGGATGAAACAGACTTCCAGATCATAGAACGTGTAACAGAGCCAATAATCAATGGGAAAACTTCTCCTTCCAAATATTTTATTTATTTCATTATTAACTCTTAGAGGTGGATCTAGAACACCCTTTAAGTCCAGCTATGAGAAGTAAAGGAAGGAGTGGAAATCCAAATGACTTCCAGATTTAGAGAGAGGTTACAGTTTCATGGAAGCTTCTTTAGCTTTTTGCTATACTTTTTCAGGCTCTGTGATGCACCAAATAGAAATATTCTACCCTTCATTTTTGAACCCAAGAAACTAGAGTGATCTTTGAAAAATATGAATCAGATCATGCAACTGTCCTGCTTAAAACTCCCCAGTGGCTCCCATTTGCTCTTATAGTAAAATTCAAATTCCTTATCATCTGCCATGTGGCCATATATGCTGTGGTCCCTGCCCAACACTATCATCTCTTCCTCTACAATTTTCCCCACCATTTACTTACTCTAAGGACACAGGGTTCATTTCTATCCTTGAAAAGCTCAAGCTTAATTCCATCTCAGAGTCTTTGTTCTCACTGTTCTCTTTGCCTAACATGCTCTCCCCACAGATCTTCACATGGCATAACCCTTCTTATCATTCAACTCCCACTCAAACATCACCATCTCTGAGAGACCTTCTCTGAAAATGTTATCTACAGTTCCATTGTCCCAGGCATTCTCTATGCCGTTGTGCTGTTTCATTTTTCTTCATAGCAATTATCTGAAATCATGTAATTTATTTGTTTACTTATATATCATCTGTTTCTTCTTTCCATAATGTAACTTCATGAAAAAAGGAATTTATCCGCTAAAGAAATATTTGTTCAGGGAATTCTGAGTCAAACTGATGAATCTGAATCAATAAATACCTACTATCAATAGGACTGTTAGGACTTACACTTAATAGCCTTAACTTGGTGCATCCAGTACAAAAATAAAAAGCACAATGTCAGAACGTTGGAGGAACTCAGAGTCTAATTAAAATGGGCAGGTATACAGCTTGCCATAAAACACAGCAGAGTAAAATCAACGTGTTAGGAAAGACACAAATAAAATGCACATTTTTATAAGTGAGGGAGAAGCTACATCCAGAGGAGAGAATCCAGAAAGCCTTTTTGAAGGAGATAGTCTTTTTAAGCAGGTAAAAATATGGAAGGAGGTGGGGAGAGTTGGGGGAACAGCTATCAGAAACAACAAAATCCTGAGAAGAAGCATAGATGTGATAAATCCTGCAAGTAGACAATTAGATACAAGAAGCCAGAGCTGTAAGAAATAAGGCTGAGGGAGAGGTTGAAATGCAAGAATAGAGAGCATGAGAGGAAAATAACAAATTTAATTATGCATGGAACAGAGAGCTCCTGACAGGTTTAGAGAGGAGTGCTCCAAGGATCAGAGGCAAGCTGTAAAAGTCCCGTGGGAAATTGGACACCAGTTAGGAGGATTCTCATAATCTAGGCAAGAGGCAAAGAGACCCAGAACAAGATGGGTAGCACAAAGCTGAGGAGAGGTAGTTCATTTAGAAAAGTTACTGAGTCTGGCAACTGTTTGAATATGGATGGTGAAAAGAAAGCAAGAACCATAGAAGACCTAATCTTTCAGGACTAAGTGCCTGAGAAAATGGTGGCTTATCATTCAGAGATAAAGCAACTGGAAACAGGAAGTGTCAGAAGTTGAGTAAGGCCTGGGATGCTTCCATTCGTTCGTTGCTCCCAGTATACTGTAAAGTAGATGCTAGAACACAGCCTTCTTTCTTCTGGGGATCACCTTTGTGCTCTTTACATCACTTGCTCTCACCGTATAGGGCATGAAAGCAAAGCGAGAACTGTTGCTCATTGCTAAGTTTCTGAAAACAAGACCAGCTAATTTGGAAATTGTGGTATGGGGAATTACATCAATTTTTAATGTGTTCTACTTGGAACTATATTGCTTAAGGTAGTACAAAATTTACGGGAGCCAACGAACTATCTATTCTCTCCTTGTTACATGCTAAACAAGAAATATGAGGACATCTAGGCTTCCTTATAAACTGAAAGATAGCAAAATGAATATTTGATAATGTCCTGTATTATTTGTGTGTATTTTTTCTCTGCCAATTCATGTTTTTTCTTTTAAGGAGGATGGTTTCTATTCTGATTTACTGTACTCCACATGTATTCATTTAGAGGAGAAAACAGATGGATGACTACTCAGGAACTTGTAACTGTTGCTGGATTCTGTGCTCTGCTTTGAATATTAAAACCAATCCCCTTCTCTTAACAGCTTCATAATAAACAATAAGGACACCTTCTTCAGCAATGCTACTCGAAGCAGGATAGTCTATCACATGTTGCAGCACACCAAATATGAGCATGGGATATCAAAAGTGGGTAAGAAGACTAATTAAAAACAGAGAAAGTAGAATTTTCTGTTGCTAATTAGACCCCGAAATATATTTTAACAACTGAAGCTTTGCTTTCCTGTGTTAATTATGAGGATATAACAACACTTTGAACACAAACTAAATATTCTATTCTTCAGCCTTTCAATAAAGCAAAACAAAATAAAACAGAAAACTTTTTTCAAGAGCATTTGGCCAATATGTATCAAAATGTGAGATGTGCAAACAATATGGAACAGAAATTTTATATCTTGAAATTCATCTCAAAGAAGTAATCAGACTTTTGAGTAACAATATATGTAGAAATTTGATCATTGTGTCTTTGTAATGAAATAAAACTGGAAATACTCTGTCCATCATTAGGAAGTGACAAATAAGTTAGGCTACGTCCTCATAATGCACCCATTGAAAATTATTTATTCACTCTTCCCTCAAATTTATTAGGCTATTTGTTTCATGCTATATATTATAGAAAGTATATAACATATACTACCCTTTACTCATGGAGACTGAAAATTAGTGCTTAGTTCTCTGTTTATTGACTTCAAAAGATATCCACAAAGCATTATTAAGGGAAAAGAAATTAAAAAACAAAAACAGATTACCCATGGAAACTTGTACCAATCTCTACTGATTTGCATTAAAATAGAGTGTAATATAAGTAAAATAAACTATGTTTCAAGTCAGTCATTTTTAAAAGAAGAACATTCAGACTTTCTTTCTCCTCTGATTAATAATTCATTTATTACTGAGCAGTCAAAATAGTTAATTTAGACACTAAATCCTTACAGAAAATAATCTGACACTTAATCAGAAGTTTTCTGAACAAGAAATAAAGAGAAATCCAGAGTATAAACTAAAAATGTGTCTAAATGATAGCATTGTGTGCTTATGTAGTCTTTAAAAATAAAAATATGACATTTTAAGAGATTGTAAAGATATCATGCCCTTTGTAGAACATACAATAAAAACAGAAGAGTATAAAAATAAAATTAAAGAATTCTTATCAATTGTCATTGTTACAAATTAATATTGAATATACGTCATAATTAGAATCAGGCATCATTTACCATGTTTTATCTTTTTTTTAAAATTACCATTATGAGTATTTTCTCAAGTCCTTTAATATGACTGAAAACATTATCATAAATAGCTGTACTATATTCTATTATAAGTAATCATCAAATCACAGTTCTTACCAGGAAACTAGTATAATTGATTATATCATAATAATTAAATAACCCCAATTTTAGATGAGCAAATTGAGTACAATAATACATTAAAAAGATCATATATCATATCAAGTGGGTTTTATTCCAGGGATGCAGGGATGGTTCAACATCTTGAAATCTATCAATGTGATACACCACATTAACAATATGAAGAATAAAAATCACATGATCATCTCAATAGATGCAGAGAAAGTATTTGATAAGATACAGCATCCATTTATGATAAAAACTCTAAATAAAATAGGTATACAAGGAAAATACCTCAACATAATAAAGGCCATATATGACAAACCCACAGCAAATATCATTCTCAATAGAGACAAACTGAAAGCTATTCCTCTAACAACAGGAACTAGACAAGGATGCCCACTTTCACCACTTTTTTTAATGTAGTATTGGAGGTCTTAGCCAGAGCAATCAGGCAAGAAAAAGAAATAAAAGGGATACAAATTGGAAAAGAAGAAGTGAAACTGTCACTCTTTGCAGACAACATGAGTTCGTATATAGAAAACCCTAAAGAATTCACTAAGAAACTTTTAGAAATAATCAATGAGTACAGTAAAGTCACAGGATACAAAATCAACATACAAAAATCAGTTGTGTTTCTATACATTAACAATGAAGTAACAGCAAGAGAAATTAAAAATACAATCCCATTTCCAATTGCAACAAAAAGAATAAAATACCTAGGAAAAAACTTAACCAAAGAAGTGAAAGATTTGTACATCAAAAACTATAAAACATTGTTGAAAGAAACCAAAGAAGACAAAAAGAAATGGAAAGTTATTCCATGCTGTTGGATTGGAAGAATTAACATGGTTAAAATGTCCATACTTCCTAAAACAATCTATAGATTCAGTGCAATCCCTGTCAAAGTTCCAACAACATTTTTCACAGAAATAGATCAAAGAATCCTAAAATTTATATGGAACAACAAAAGACCCGAAATAGTCAAAGGAATCCTAAGGAAAAAGAACAAAGCTGAAGGCATCACAATCCCTGACTTCAAAGTATACTACAAAACTATAATAACCAAAACAGCATGATACTGGCACAGAAACACACACACAGATCAATGGAACAGAATGGAGAGCCCAGAAATAAACCCACACACTTATGGACAGCTAATATTCGACAAGGGAGCCAAGAACATACAATGGAGAAAGGAGACTCTTCAATAAATGCTGTTGGGAAAACTGGACAGCCACATGCAAAAGAATGAAAGTAGACCATTATCTTACACCATGCACAAAAATCAACTCAAAATGGATTAAATACTTGAATGTAAGACCTGAAACCATAAAACATCTAGAAGAAAACATAAACAGTATGCTCTTTGACATCAGTCTTAGCAGCATATTTTCAAGTCCCATGTCTGACCAGGCAAGAGAAACAAAAGAAAAAATGAACAAATGGGACTACATCAAGCTAAAAACCTTCTGCACAGCAAAGGGAACCATCAACAAAATGAAAAGACAACCTAACAATTGGGAGAAGATATTTGCAAAGCATATATCAGTTAAGGGGTTAATATCCAAAATATACAAAGAACTCGTACATCTCAACAACAAAAACCCCAATTAAAAAATCGGCAAAAGATCTGAACAGAGATTTCTCCAAAGAAGATATACGGATGGCCAACAGGCATATGAAAAGATGTTCAACATCACTAGCTATCAGGGAAATTCAAATCAAAACTACAATAAGGTATCACCTCACTCCGGTCAGAATGACTATAATTAACAAGACAGGAAACAACAAGTGTTGGAGAGGATGTGGAGAGAAGGGAACCCTTGTATACTGCTGGTGGGAGTGTAAACTGGTACAGCCACTATGGGAAGCATTATGGAGTATCCTCAGAAAATGAAGAATAGATCTACCATATGATCCAGCTATCCCACTGCTGGGTATTTATGCAAAGAACTTGAAAACACAAATGCATAAAGATACATGCACCCCCATGTTCACTGCAGCATTATTCACAATAGCCAAGCCTTGGAAGCAACCCAGGTGCCATCAAGGGACAAATGGATAAGGAAGATGTGGTATATATACACAAGAGAGTACTACTCAGCCATAAGAAATGATGAAATCCGGCTGTTTGTGACGACATGGATGGACCTTGAGGGTATTACGCTGAGTGAAATAAGTCAGAGAGAGAACGTCAAATACCATATGATCTCACTCATAAGTAGAAGATAAAAACAACGACAAACAAACACATAGTAACAGAGATTGGATTGGTGTTTACCATAGGGGTAGGGGAAGGGGGAAGGCAAAAGTGGGGATTAGGCTCACATGTGTGGTGATGTATTATAATTAGGTTTTGGGTGGTGAACATGATGCCATCTACACAGAATTTGAAATATACTATGGTGTACATCTGAAAGCTATACAATATTATAATCCAAAGTTACTGCAATAAAAAAATTACCATTATGAGTATTTTCTCAAGTCCTTTAATATGTCTGAAAACATTATTATAAATAGGTGTACTATATACTAAGTATTCATCAAATCACAGTTCTTACTGAGCATCTAATATAATTGATTATATCATAATAATTAAATAATTCTCCAATTTTAGATGTACAACTATTGTTAATTCTTTACTGATACTAACATTGCAACAAAAATTGCTCTCTAGAAAGGTTTTCCCACTATCTAGTCTTACTAGGGCTGTATGAGAGTGTCCATTTCACCACACTTGCACTGAGATGGAGGAGATTTTAAGTATCACAGATTGCTATTAATATCTCTTTGGCTCAGTATTTAGTAATTAAAAATTTCTCAGTACAAATGTTCTTTTAAGACATTTTTGGGGATGGGGAATTTCTCTGCTTCCTTGACAAAATTTTGTTGTTTTGAGGGAAAACTAAGTTGCTCCAGGCTCATGTGATCTGAAATAAGTGAGTATTAAAATGCATCATATTTCATGATATGGCAAATGCCAGGTATTGGCACCTTGCAAATCTCCATTAATGTGATAAAGACACAGTTTGACTCTTAGTATCAATCTCTTTCACAACCTCACTGTTCTCATAGGTGACGTGGCTATGGAAGTCATGTGGGTCATTTTAAGTTTTGAAATTAATTTATTATCCCAAGTATATGTATGTTGTTTCAGAGGGAAGTCGTCATTTAAACTGACTCAGGAACTGTTCTTTTCTTCTCTTTCCAGGTATCTGTAAACTTATAAACAATGGTTCATATATAGCAGCTTTTCCCCCACATGAGGTAATTTTGAAAAATACAGTTTCCATTAAAAAGAATTCTCATGCTCAATGCTTGATCCCATTTTTTTCATTTAAGTCCGGCTGCCCTCTCCCAGTAGTGTTCAATCAGTAAGTGGCTTGGTCCCTTCCGAGACCCTGTTATAATGCGTGGCTGCATACTGGCTTCTGTGCTCCAGAGTTCTACAATTTGCCCTGTGTCAGGAATCCTAGCCTCAGATGGAGCTCCTGGACATCACTCAGCTACTCCGACCCCCACCCTCTGCTCCAACATGGAGCTCCATGCCTGACCCACTTGGTATCTACAACACTCCCAAACAGGGCAGGTTCTGGTTTGTCCCTACTCCATTAGGATACCTGAAAATCTAAGGAAAACCCTCAACAAAAATCTACATCCCACAATTTACATGATTCTCTGCCAGATTATTATCTCTCTACCAGTTTTAAGTAGAAGTGCCTGCTGAAAGCTGTTAGGGGTCTCTGCCTGCTTAGTCATTTGAATCAGTTTTAAACAACCTCTGCCAACACACACGCGTACACACACATACACACAATATTCTTTTTAAGGCAATTTTGCATTTTAAAAAAAGAGCGAGGTCTTTAGAGGTTTAATGTATGCACTTTCAAAATCCACCCCTTTTCTATTTTTAAAGGCTGAGGGCTCGCAGGACAAAATTTCTATACCTGAAGTCTTCAGTCTAGTATAACTCATAAAAGATAAAATGTATTGAGCACTTCCTATTTGGCACTAAGCTAAATGTTTTATATGGATTATCTCATTTGAGCTTTGCAATAACCCTTTGAGATAGATAGTAACATTAACTCCATTTTATAAATAAAACATTGGGGCACAGAAAGGTGAAGTATCAAACGCACACTTTCGAGCCCAGGAAGCCAGACTTAAATGGTGTGGCTACTTATAGTAGGACTAGGAATAACAATAACATGTAATATGTTAGTGTGTTTCAAGTGACAGGCCCTGTGCATATATTTTACCACTAATCTGACAATAATCCTGGAGGGGTAGATATATTATTTTTACATTTTAGAGGTACAGAAACAAGGTTCAGACAAATTAGACACCATGTCAAATGCGACATAGTCAGTGAACGGTAAAGTGTTCAGAGTAGCAAACCTAAGGTCCGGGGAGAACGTCTTTAGCAAAGGAAGGTTTGGTTTATTCTCTGTAAGTAATTTTGTCTACATAACTAGTCTGTGTTCTAACAGTTCATTTGATGGTTTCTTGTGTGAAATTTGGAACCTATTAGGAATAGGTTGTAAATAATAGTCATTTTCCCATTTATTCTCATTATTTGGTAGAGATAGTAACATATGGAACACATACATGAAACAATTATAAAACAATATTGTTGAAATGTGCATAACTAAAACAAAACAGAAAGTCAATAAAATGGACTCAGGAATTTTCTATTGGTTTTATATGCTACTTCTTGAGAGAAGAAAAATAAGGCTTACTTAGAGGAAAATAAAGTCAACTGTATAATTTGATTAACCTTACTTCGCAATTTATGGCCACTTGCTCCCTTGAAGCAGGAATATTACTAGTGTCAGTCTCATATTTTTCACCTATAGTTGAGATTTATTTTTTACTTACAAAAGGGACGATACCTAGAGAGGAGAGAAAGACATTTCCAGGGGAATTTGTCAAGAAAAAGAAGAAAGAAAGTGAAGAAGAGAGATATATATGTGAGAAAGAGTTTGCTAAAGATGTTGATAGAATTGATAATTCTGTCAATAATGAATAGTGGAGACAGAGGAAAAGTGTGTTATTTGGAGGAGGGGGCCGATCATGGGGATGGCGGTAGGTGCGTAGTCCTCTGGAAAGGGATGAAAATACCTGGATGAACAGGAGTCCTCACTTTGGTCAGTTTTCTCTCTCAGCCCACCTCATGTCACTGCCAACTCAGAACAATACGATTGAGTGAAGTTATTGAGCAGAGTTGGAACAACGATGCGCAGGGAATCTAAAGCTTAGCACCTACAGCCCGTGAAGCGCCTCTGTCTGACCACTGAGGCCAGGAAGGAAAATCACGTATTTTAGAAGGATTATCAATAATGATTGAGAGAAAGCTGAGATTTTGGTTCACTTTCACTTACCTACCCAATCTCAGGGCAGTTTACCTTAATAGGTCAGTCTAATTTTATAAGCAAACTTTTCCTAAGTGGATGTCCCCTGCTCAGAATTTTGGTCTTTGCTTCCATCTCCTTAGCTTCCAATCTTTAAGCTTTAAACACCGTGGGCTCCCTTAGGGCAGAAAACTCTGGGACTGCACTTTAGCTGTACTCCCACCCTTAACTAACTAATTTATCTGTTTTGTTAGAAAGCCAGAGGTGAAATCTGTGTATTTCCCAGTTCAGCCTTGAGGAACCTGCAGACTATGATTCAAAGTGTCCTCTTTCTTCATAGGAATGCACAGCCCTGGTTCTCTGGGACCATTCAGATGGTAGTTTTGCACTTTTCAATGGTCCCAATATGTCAAATACCTAAAATTAACTAACAATGGGCCAGCCCTGTGGCATAGTTAAGTTTGCATGTTCCTCTTTGGCAGCCCAGGGTTTATGAGTTCAGATCTCGGGGGTGGACCTACACATTGCTCCTCAAGCCAGGCTGTGACAGCGTCCCACATATGAAGTAGAAGAAGATTGACAACAGACGTTAGTTCAGGGCCAATCTTCCTCACACACACACACAAAAATTAACTAACATTGATTCGTACTTCCTATGTGCCTGTGTGCCTGGCACTTTGATTTTCCAAGGGGGCCCTCACAAAATCCCTCTATTGGGATCATTAACACTCATTCTTGTTCCCATGATGTTGGAAAGGAAATAGACATAATTCCAGTTGTTTTAAATTCTCATCAAACTTTTGCGTAAAAGTCATGCATTGCAGTGAGGAAATGGACTTTGTCAAATTCTGTGTCCTGAGTTTTGCTTCAGAAAATATAATCACCACAAATTTTTGCCTCCTCTTTCTTTATAGAAGCAGAGCAGTTCAGCCTTCAGGGAACACTTCCCTCTACAAGGCATATATATTCTATGTTTCTGAAATTGAAACCCATATGACAGATTTTTGAGGGAGGATATAAAGAATCTGAAAACATGCTTCAATTTTTGGAATATCTTATCTGAAGTTGGTTTTTAGGATCCTTGAAAGTAAGAACATGACCAACATACCAGCACTGGTCATGCTGTAGGCCTCTTACGCTTAGACTAAGACTTGGGCCTCTTACCTTCCGTGAATGAGTATTTACTCTATTCCTTTGCTTCTATAACAGAAATACATATTTTCTGGGACTGGGTCACTTCTTAAATCAGAATAATAGTCTTAATTTATGAACTAAAGACTACAACCATTTCTCTCAATGATGGTGAAGATCTTGTGTTTATTAAAAGACCTTAGATTCCAAACAGTGAAGCCTAAAGTCTAGTTTACTTTAAGTGGAAGAGATCTCATTGGTTTAAAAAAGAAATTTAAGAAAGGATTTTTAAGGAACTATCAGAATATTTTCAATGAAAGATATATAAAGGCATTTACTACAGTATTCTCGTAATGGGCTTAAGTTTACAATTTCTGAAGCTTTCAATAAGTCATTATTCTATAAGGAAAAAAAAGAAAAAGAAATTCCTGTTTAGTTCAAATTTCAGTAAGAGACTTTATATAAATTTATCTTATTTTATCTGTTTCAGGGAGCCTACAAGAGTAGCCTGCCAATCAAAACCTATGGACCTCAGAATAACAGACATCTATTATATGAGCGCTGGGCACGCTGGGGCATGTGGTACAAGCATCAGCCCCTGGATTTAATCAGGTACTGTGGATGGAGTGATAATGGAAGACTAGTATGCCATTTTATTGTCATTTTCTTAGATTTTGAATTATTTCATTTACCTACTAAATCATCTGTATCATTAGAGATACAATCAGGAAAAAAGAAGTCACTATAGGTCTTTTCAATAAAAGGAACTTGATTTAGGGAATTGGCTACACAGGGAATGGGAAAGCTGAGTAATCAAACAGGAATAGAAAGTCAATGAAATTAATAAAGACAGCTAATAAAGACATTAACAACAGCAGAAAATTGATAAACACCCTCAAACTGGAGGGAAAAGGGGATAAAGTGTATTTTAGAGCCAAATTCCTAGGCCGTTGGCAAAGAGCTATACCATCCATGACTAGGACTGCCTGCAGAGGAATGAAAGCATTGGAGTGGAGCCATGGAGTGGGCGTGGCCATTCTAGAGAGCCCTGGAGATATGGGCAGGAGAGGAGAGAAGATCCTGGCTTCTCCCTTCTTTCCACCTTTGAGTCTTCTAGTACCTCCTGGCCCAACTTAACCGGGAGCAACTTACGAGAGAACCTGTGTAATCTGCTTCTCTGTGAAAATAAATCAAAACCAGGAAAGGTAGAAAATAGATCTAAGAACAAAGAAGAAAATGACCAACATAGCATCTGTGTACATACTTATTGTTCAGCACAGATTTAATGAGTGTCTATTCCTTTCCAGGAAATATATTCTGGTGAGTAACTACCCTCAATTTGAATTAGTCCTGAAATACTGTTACATTCATGATTTATTTTATTTTGATGGAGGATAATTTGTTCTTTTTTTAAAAATTCAGGAAATATGTATTAAAAAGAGCTTAATTAACTCCCTAGCTAACTAAAAATATTTATATACTGAAAGAAAAAAGATCATTCACATTATAAGGTTATATATGTTGGTATTTTGAACTGTTCATGAATCCGAAATATCAAGGATAACTCATAACTGAATCAGTCATTGTCCCAGCAGGAAACTGATCAAACTGATAGCCTAGAAGGGGTATTTGATGAGACTTTAATAAAAGAACTATATACAGAAGTGTAAATAGGATCAAAGGAGCCAACAAATGATGATGAAGCTTCCAGGGACTAGCAAAAGGTGGATGCTGTTACCAAGCCTAGGCCTGGAGGGACAAGGGGAGAGAGCAGTTGGCAGAACCTGTCAAAAGCTATAACCATAGAAGGGCGGATGCCTGACAGAAGCTATGGCCTTTGGAAGAATGCAGCTATAGCCAAATCATAGCCCAGGAAGGAGAGAGTCAAGGAATAAATACTCCAGCATCTCTTTTGTCCAACCCTGTGATCTCCTGCTGGTACGTTGAGTTGGCCAATGAGCCCATCAGGAAGCCAGAAGAAGGAGGGAGTATAGTTGATACAGTTTATAGAGGAGAGCCTCCTGGGGCACATAGCAGAAAGGAAAAGAGTGGAGCATGGATCCGGATGTGCAAAGCTTAGTTCTCTTATCTATATGAGACATTGCTGTTGCTGCTTCAGGTAATTTCAGTAAACAACCTTTATTTTTAATAAACAGGTTATTCAGCTGCTATTACCAGTTCTTTGCCTGTTGACATAGATGGGAAATTTTGCTTATGAAAATGGTATATTTCATATTCAGTTGGCCAAGCAGAGAGGGATGTGGTGAAGGGATCAGCCAAGATGAAGGCCATAAAAGAATACAAATGGCATTTCAACAGGTTCCTAGGAACTTGCTTGTTACCAAAAGTGAGATGGTGATGAGGCAGACATGCATATTAAACTACAGGGTCTTGTGCATAGAATTTCATACAAGGCCCAGTTTTCTACAGCCAGCAGGAAGATTGCCTTAAAATCTGTGACTTTTTAATTATTTGGAGTTAAATTGTTCTAAGACTACACAGTTTGGAGGACATGGGTCTCCTGTTGTGTTGCTTCCTATCTGTTTGAGAGAAAGAGTGTGTTTAGGAGTTGGGTTCTTTATATACTTTGGTCACGGATGATGGAGACCCCCAGGCAAGGCCTGTGTTCTCTCATGCTGAAAAAGGTAGTTCATTAATACCGGATGAAAGGCGAGGGGCTGTCAATCGTTTTCCTTTTTATAAACTATCATTTCTGGACATGTATTTGTGCATTTTCCATTTTAAGAATGAATTCAAACATTTAGTAGCCCATGTTTATTTTAGTTGCAATCTAATTTTCCATGGAAAATATTTGAATCTGCAAAGAGCACATTTTAAAAATTGTCAGCTACAAAACCTGCTTAACAAAACAGTTGTGTGGCCTTTTTTAATGTTTCACAATAGGCATCAGAGGGATTTAAATTTAAAAACTACAATAATTCTCTCTGAAACTATTCCATTCAACATTTATTTATTTTATGATAGAGGTTATTTCAGCAGCAGAATCCTATCATCGATGAAATGTCACATAAGGAATCAATATATAAAACAGATCAAAAGAGAGTGGCTATGGGTGAAGTGTGATAAAGTGATATCACTAGCGACCCCCCTTCCTCCTTGTCCTGTCGTGGTTTTCAAGATCCGTTAAGAACACTCAGAGGTCTAAGAAGACTGGGAATACCAATGCTCCAGGTCAGGGCATTTTCATCAGTCTTCTTTGCCTGGAAATAGCTTCTCCCTCTCCTGAAACAGATCTGAAATATGCTGTAACTCAGGTGATTATATTTCTGTCAAATAATATTGTTGTTCCTCTTAACCTTGAACAATGTGTAATTAAAAATCTCAGTATAATACTCTCTGTATAATGGGATCTGTCTGTGCAGTCCTCTTTGATCACTACTATAAAGATAATTCATTCTGGCAGCATATGTGCTAAAATCCCTGCTCCACCTACAGAGGCACACTAGTTTAAAGGAACAAGTGGCTTTATTACAATAGCTGTTAATATAATCAGCTCCCTCTTCAAAGTATAACATTATCATTGTATAAGAAATGAATAGACTATTGCTCTATGTCCCCTAGGAGAAATAAATGGAAAAAACTAAAAAATTAGATAAATGATGCTTATGAAGGATGATTCCATTCTACATCTAGTAGAATATGCACAAATTTTAGTTGGCACAATACAAAGAATGAAGGAGAAAGAGAATGCTTTTCAGAAAGAGAAATCTTGTTATGGGAAAAATAGCCAGAAAATTTTCTTCCCTGCAGCTATCACTGCCCAGTGCAATATCTCCAAAGGAACTGTCAAACGCCAATCTTTAGAACTATCGCTGAGACAGAACTATGTGTTAAGTAAACGTTTTTAGAAGATGGCGACCAAACAGTAGTAGAGAATTCCAAAAATTATTATGTCCTACCAGAGCTTTTATAAACTCTGTGGCAGTTAATACTGTCAGTGGACTTGGTGAGGAAAGAGCGAGTGAGCAGTCTTTAAAACTGCCTTGTTGATCTGCCCTTTCCATAGAAACTGTGTTCATCAGCTGAAGGGAAATAAAATGCATTCATTTCTTTAGCTTCTTCAATACTTCCTGGGGTGGGTGCTAGTGAAACAGGACACAGATCCCCTTTCAAGCTGCTTGCAGTCTTACAGGGAGGGAGAGGAATGGAGGAGTGACGGCTGATTGTCGTGAAGTGTTTTGAGTCTAGAACACTGAAATGTGAGTGAGGGCAGTGTGAGACCAAGAGCGGGGGCATCTAACTCAGGCTTGGAGTGGAAGTCAGGAAAGGCTTCCTGGAAGACTGGATATAAAGTGAAGGAACGTACAAGCTGGACAAGGGAAGGGGTGAAAGTAATATTCCAAAGGCAGGGAACAGCAGTAACCAAGGGAAGAATCCTTTGCTCCAGGAACTGCAGAGTCGAACTTTGTTGAGGAAGGTGTGACCGAATTGTGCAGACCGATTGTGTCCAGCATAAGGGAGTCCGGGCAAGGGTTCGGATGGACTGAAATCGACTCTGCTTTCAGCATCCACCTAGATAGGAGACTGTTTTCTAATTTAAACAAAGGCAATATGGAAAACAGAAAGGGATTCTACTAGGAGGATAGAGAAAAGCAAGAACTGGCCTATAAAAACCTATGTGAGCCATGTTAAGAAGTTTGACCTAAAAATAAACACATTTTATAAATTGCCCCCATAATGACAATATTTAAAGATAAACAATATCACTATTACTAGATTCATTAACAGGCAGGAATATTAAGATATCCCAGATGGAGCCGATGAGGAACTGAACTGGTAGCCTCAACTGTCCATCTGAAGTTCTGACCAGGTGTGACATTAATATCTGTTGTGTCTCTTAGGTTGCCTTGAGCTAAGGATTTGCTTTCTCTGGCAGGCTATACTTTGGTGAGAAAATCGGGCTCTACTTTGCTTGGCTGGGCTGGTACACTGGAATGCTCATTCCTGCAGCTCTTGTTGGCTTGTGCGTTTTCTTCTATGGAATATTAACAATGAATGCAAGTCAAGTAAGGTAAGCTATTAGCAGACTTAATAAAAAAGTTTGGGCTTTCTTCTGATTTGGCAAAAGCGTTATGATAATGCTGACTATGAAAAAGAGGTGGTGGTACTACAATTTTTTTGCTGCTTTATTTTTTTTTTTGTAAGGGAGAAGCACTATAAAAAAGGTCATTTCCATGCTTTTATATGCAAATTTTCTTGGATAAGTTCTAAGACTGTTTTTCTTTATGCTAAATTTCTCTTTCTAATATACCCCACATAATACTCAACAATGCAATAGATAGTTTTATATAATTTCCACTTGTATAGTATTTGATACTCTAGAATACCCTCTCAATATGTTAGTTCAAGTAATTATAATAGCTACAATTCTTTAAACACTTATGTCCATATATCAAAACCTTCCAAATACATTGTTTCATTTGATATAACCTTCACTCCCACCCTTGGAGATGAGTATTACATTTTGCACCTGAGGGAAACTTACATAGTTAAAGAAATCTAAACAAAATATTTATGCCACATAAATCCTGCTCTAAGCAGTGTCCTCTCCTGAGAAGATAAAATCCCTTTCTACTTTCTTCATACCCTCTTTATAATGTTTTTAGCATGAACTTAAGACGTCAATATGGTAGTGAAATAAGGTTTGACAAAAATCAAACATTTATCAGAATGATAATTCTTCTGTTAAAGTTGAAACAACTCAAGATTTAGATATAGGAACAATACATTATTATTCAGCAGAGGCAGGAGTCATCCTGGCGTTAAAGAATCCTCTTAACAGCATGTTCTGTTTAATATATCACAAGGATATCGTCAAGTTTAACCTTGTATGATACAATCCAAAATGGGAAAAAGCACTTCTCCTTGCCTTCAAAGCTCAGCACTTTTTCTCCTTCAGTCAATCCTTTAACCATAGCTTTGCTACTGGATAATAATGACAAGTAATGGGATCATAAAAATTCATTTCTTTGAGTTTTCTTTAAATATGTATAATATGCATATGTATATGTTTGTATATGTATAACAATTTTGCTTAAAAACAAAAGACTTTCATTGTCCTAGAATTGCATCCTGTTCCATAAGCAACTTCCTTGATTTGTCATCTCAGAGTCCCCTTGTTCTTCATGAAGGCCAAATGATAATTAGCATGAAAACAAAGAAACACCTGCTATTCAAAAGCATTTCATCCAGTCACAGATCTGTTTCAGAGTTTTGCAAACTCACTATCACTCTGGAAGGCAGCATCTTCCTGGGCAAACTTGTGCCATTGGAAACATACATCCCTTTTTGGGCACTTCTCTGTATGCTCTTGAATCAGTAACCTCTGAGGCTAAGAAGAGAGGTAGTGATTCGGAGTTATAGTGTCTTGAAATAAAAATGCTTTTTTTTTTACTATTTCTCTATTCTCTGTTTCTATGAATTTGTTTTTTTTTCTTTTAAGATTCCACATATAAAGTGATACCATGCAGTATTCTTCTTTCTCTGTCCGGCTTGTCTCACTTAGTGTGGCACCCTCAAGGCCTATTCATGTTGTTGCAAATGGCAGGATTTCCTTCTTTCTCATGGCTAAATAATATTTATATATATATGTATATGTATGTGCCACATCTTCTTTATCCATTCATCTGCTGACAGACACTTAGGTTGTTTCCATATCTTGGCTATTGTGAATAATGTTGCAATGAATAAGGGATTGCTGATATCTCTTCCAGATCCTGTTTTTATTTCCTTTGGATATATACCCAGAAGTCGGATTGTTGGATCATATACTGGTTCCATTTTTAACTTCTTGAGGAACCTCCATACTGTTTTCTATAGTGGCTACACCGATTTACATTCCCACCAACAGTGCACAAAGTGTCCCTTTTCTCCACATCCTCGCCAACAGTTATGTTTTATCTTTTTGGTGATAGCCATTCTAACAGGTGTGAGGTGATATCTCATTGTGGTTTGATTAGCATTTTCCTGATGGTTAGTGATGCTGATCATTTTTTCCATGTACCTATTGATTTGTATGTTCTTTGAAAAAATGTCTGTTCAATTCCTCTGCCTATTTTTTAAATAGATCATTTGAGAGTTTTTGCCAATGAGTTGTGTGAGTTCTTTATGTATTTTAGATGTTGTCTTTATCAGATATATGATTTGCAAATATTTCCTTCCATTCTGTAGATTCCCTTTTCATTTTGTTGATGGTTTGCTGTGTAGAAGCTTCTTAGTTTGGCATACTCCCACTTGTTTATTTTTGCTTTTGTTCCCTTTGTTTTTGGTGTCAAATCCTAAAAATCATTCCCAAGACTAATTTCAAGGAGTTACCCCCTATGTTTTCTTCTAGGAGCTTTACGGTCTCAGGTCTTAAACTAAAGTCTTTAATACATTTTGAGTTAATTTTTGGGTATGGTGTAAGATAGGGGTCCAGCTTCATTCTTTAGCATGTGCATATCCAATTTTCCCAACACCATTGGTTGAAGACACTATCCTCTCCCCATTGTATATTCTTAATTCCTTCATCAAAAATTGACCACATATACATGGTTTTATTTCTAGGTCTCTATTCTGTTCCATTGATCTGTGTGTCTATTTTTATGCCAGGACCATACTGTTTTGATTACTATAGCTCTGCAATGTTGTTTGAAATCAGGAGGTGTGATGCCACCAGGCTTGTTCTTCCTTCTCAAGATGGCTTTTGCTATTTGGGGTCTTTTGTGATTCCACACAAATTTTAGGATTGCTTTTTCTATTTCTGTGAAAATAACATTGAAATTTGGTAGAGATTGCATTAAATCTGTAGATCTCTTGGGGTAGTATGAACATTTCAACAATATTCATTCTTCCAATTCATCAGCAAGGAATATTTTTCCATTGATTTGTGTCTTCTTCAATTTCTTTGATCAATGTCTTACAGTTTTCAGTGTTTGTTTATTATTTCTAACAGTTTTTTGGTGGAGTCTTTAGGGTTTTAGAAAAACACTCTTTTAAAGTGAATTTATAACAGCAGAAAATGATTCTTAGACAGTTAGCTACTGTTCAAGCTGGTTCCATGAAGAACACATTCACAAAGTTTTACCATGCGATGTAGACTCCCCCTCCACCCATGCTAAGCTGAAAGTGAACAAAGGCAATGAAAAGAATAGATTTGCTGTTCCTATTGATTTATGCACCAGTGGAGTCAATTATGCTGCTTTGGTATGAGATGAGTATTCTTTAACCTTTAGTACAAGGAGTGTTTTAAAAGGCGTTAGCCAGCTCTTTTCTTCAGTGCCTTATGGCATTATATCACTGCTACTTCTGTCACATTGTAATTAAGACCTTGTCAGACCTTCTATTCTAAACCAGGTTTAGCATCACTGAATATCTTGACTTTCAAAATTTCATGGGTCTGAAATTTTCCATTGAAGGCGTCAGACGTGGTTAAGTCGTACATGTTATCATGGTGGGCTGGGGGAGGACACAGGGCTTATATTTCATGTTGCTTTGTTTTAGTATTGTGTTATTGAGTTCTTTTTTGTTTACTGCAAGGTAACAAAATATTAAAAAGCTGAAGATTGGGCTGTATTTATTTTATTTCTACCAGCTATGTTCACATAAATTAAGGTCATATTTATTTTTTTTTTTTTTTGAGGAAGATTAGCCCTGAGCTCACTGCTGCCAGTCCTCCTCTTTTTGCTGAGGAAACCTGACCCTGAGCTAACATCCATGCCCATCTTCCTCTACTTTCTATGTGGGATGCCTACCACAGCATAGCGTGCCAAGTGGTGCCATGTCCGCACCCAGGATTTGAACTGGCGAACCCCTGGCCACGGAAGCAGAACATGCGCACTTAACTGCCATGCCACTGGTCCAGCCCCAAAAGTCATATTTCTTAATTGCCCTGCAGTTAATTGTAGAATTATGTAGCAATCAAGTTGAAGATTATTTATTGTATGTGTATGTTCATGTATGTATTTACACGTGTTCGTTGGTCTTACATAAACCAAATGTGGTCAGATTTGTGCCTGGGAGAGCACATATGATAGGAATATGAAAATGAATAAGCAGGTAGATATGGCCTGCTTCTCAAGCCAGGGGTTTCAGGTCCACGGGGCAGAAACCTCAACTTTCTGGTCCACTCTTGTCTCTTTGGCTTTAGAACTCATTAAGCAATTTATGTGGTCTTCAGTATTGACCAGCTTTTCAAAAGCTGTTGAGTCCTAAAGGATCTCTCAATGCCTCTCCTGACAACATTCTTAGTAATAAGGGTTTCTTCTATTTATCAAGTGACTATGATGTACCAGGCACATTACCAATATCACTTACGTAATATCCTAGTTAGAGATTATCTCCATCTAGAGAGGAAGAAATTGATTCTCAGAGAGGTAAGTGACTTGATCAGGGGAATATATGTAGTAAGTGATCAGATAAGTTTCAAACCTGTATCTGATATTTCATTTTAATTGTGGTAAGAACACTTAACGTGAGCTCTACCATGTTCACAAATTTCTAAGTGCACACTGTGGTATGTTAACTATAAGCACGATGTTATATAGCAGATCTCTAGAACTTACTCGTCTTCTGTAACTGAAACTTTATACCTGTTGAACAGCAACTCCCCGTTTCCCTGTTCCCGACCCCCTGACAACTACCATTCTGTTCTATTTCTATGAGTATGACAGTTTTACATGCTTAATAAGTGGACTCATGCTGTATTTGTCCTTCTGTGACTGGCTTATTTCACTTAACGTAATGTCCTCCAGGTTCATCCACATTGTTGTGATGGCAGGATTCCCTTCTTTTTTAAGGCTGAATGATATTCCATTGTATGTTTTCACCACATTTTCTGTATCCATTCATCTGTCAATGGACATTTGGGTTGTTTCCATACCTTGGCTACTATGAATAATGCTGCCGTGAACCTGGGAGTGCAGATGTCTCTTTGAGATCCTGATTTCAGTTCTTTTAGATATATCCCCAGAAGTGAGATTGCTGGGTCATATTGTAGTTCTATTTTTAATTTTTTGAGGAACCTCCATATTGTTTGTCATACCAGCTGCATCACTTTATCGTCCTAGCAACAATGTACAAGTGTTTCAAATTTTCCGCATCCTTACCAACACTTCTTTTGTTTTGTTTTGTTTGATAATAGCCATCCTAACAGCTGTGAGGTGATGTCTTGTGATTTGATTTGCTTTTCCCGTATGAATATATCTGATTCTAAAATCCGTGCTTTACTTATGCTTCCACACTGCCATCCCTTAAGCCTACCTTCACATTTCCCCCAAATTAACATCAGCAAGCATCTTATTCTGTGCTTCGTCGTGTTAACAGAATCACAGGGAGCGTCAGGACCCTGGAGTGGGTCTACACGTTCACCCTCAAATGCACAAACTGCTCCCTCCTCCCATCATCTTAAATTGGTGGTTATTATAGCTTTCGAATCAGCGCTTGATGTGTAGATCTAACAAGAGATATAAAACAAAAAAAAGCCACAATTCAAGTGGTGGTTTAGATTATCAGAATCCGCAAAAGAAATTGCAAAGCGCTGGGCATTCTCCCTGCCTCCAGTGGTTAAGTAAAGTTAAAGAAATTTGGGATAGTCTCCAACCTCTTATTCTAGGCTAAAAAACACAGTGTCAAAAATTGTTTAATATTTTTTATGTTACGTGTCAAGTTAAACTTTGAGGAACTTACAGAAAAGGAGTTTAATGATTCTGGAATTAGAAACAGGGCTCAGTCTGATGGCCAGGATTCTAGACTTGGTGTTTGATAGATCTATGCTTTTTTTAACAGTGTGTGTCAAGGCACCACAAAAATATCACCTCCCTCAAGTTCCCAATGAACATGATGCACCGACTGACTGCAGTGGGAGTTATGTAGTTGTGTGAATTGTGGATGCTGTTCATTTTGGTGATTATAAGGCAGCAAAACCCAGCGGAAAGATTCGTAGACTTGAGAAATCAGTATAATCAGATATGATTCCAGCTCAGCCACTTCCAAGCTTTTGATCTTGGTTGAAACTCCCTTGCGTATTCCTCACAATATTATCCTACTTGCCATGAAATCACGTGTAAAAGTGTCTCTGTAACAAAGCCCCACCAAGACTCATAAGTGTAAAATATGTCCTATTATCGTTACAACATCTTGGCAGAGATTTCTAAAAACAAGGAAACAAACAAAAACTTCTGTATCACAAATATCTCAAAACTTCGATCTGAGCCCCAGCCTTACGTTCCTCCTTATCTGCCCACCACTCCCCTCTGTTTCCACTTCCTCTTTTCTTCTCCACCTTGCTGCTTCCCACAGGACTGGCCACAGGGGCTAAGCACCTTCCTAAGGTTGAAGATTCATGCTTTCTTTTTCTTCCTTGATTTCTCAAGCAATGAAATTTGCAAGGCCACTGAAGTCTTCATGTGCCCTCGCTGTGACAAGAACTGCTCGCTGCAAAGACTCAACGATAGCTGTATCTATGCCAAGGTGAGTGTAGCCCCTTGCATTCTCCTCCCTGAGCTCTACTTTTTCTAAGAAGCAGGGAGTAAAAGGTCCTGCAGGAAACTGCTTTTTACCAAAGTTAAGAGTTTCAGCAATCCATACCATTGACAACTGAATAAAACGTCACCCTGCGGCAATTACAAAACGAATACATTTTTATTTGAATATCTTTGTCTTCCTTTGTTTTTATAACTGATTGTTGCCATCAGAGACATAAAATTCCATGTGAAATGATATTTAGATTTTCTTTTTTTAAGAGAAGATTATTTCTATTGCTAATGATTAAATTTGTATCTTGCATGCAGGCTCATGAAATTAAACTACTTCTAATTTTACAAAGAAAGTGAAATAGCATACCAAAAGTTCTCAAATTGCTGCCTATTAGAATCACCTGAAGGGTTTCTTAAACTCCTGAAGCCCAAGCCACTCTCGAGAGCACTTAAATGAGAGTCTTTGGGTTTGGAACCGAGGCAGAAGCATATTTTAAAGCTTCCCAGGTGATTCCAATGTACATACAAGTTTGAGAAACTGAATTTTACAATTATTACTGTTTATTTGTAAAAGAGTTTATCAAAGTATAATTAACATATAATAAAATGTACATATTTGAAGTCTATAAATTGATACATTTTAATTATATATGTGAAACCATCACCACAATCAAGGTAATGAACAAAGCCATCACTTCCAGAGTTTCCTGAAGTCCTCTTGTAATCCCTGCCTCCCACCCCTCCCCAACCCCACGGCTGCACTCAGGCAACCACCTGCTTTCTGTCATTATAGACAAGTTTGTATTTTCTAGACCCTTATGTAAATGAAATCATACAGTGTGTGATTTTTTCTGGCTTCCTTCACACAGTATGATTATTTTGAGATTCGTCCATGTTGTCACATTTATCATTAGATCACTCCTCTTTATTGCTGAGTACTGTTGCATTATATGGCTAGACCAGAGTTTGTTTATCCATTCATCTATTTGTGAACTTTTGAGTTGTTTCAAGTTGTTACCATTTTAAATAAAGCTGCTATGAACACTCATCTACAAATCTTCATATAGATGAATACTGTTATTTCTCTTGGGTAGATACCTAGGAGTAAAATGTCTGGATTATATGGTAGGTGGACATTTAACCTTCTAAGAAACTGCCAACCTATTTTCCCAAGCATTAATATCATTTTACATTCCCACCGGCAGTGTATGAGAGTTCCAGTTTTCCATATGGCCACTAATCCTAAAACGATTGGCCTTTTTAATTCTAACTGTTTTAATAGATGTGTAGAGATATCTCATTGGAATTTAGTTACTTGAAAATAATTGGATCCTTTTGGGTCTTGCTTTTAGGATTTATGAGATGGGCTCACAGCAGTGCTCTACCTAGCACTATCTTTTTCCCCACAATTATTTTGCAAGATCGTTCTGTGTACTCTTCCCAATGCACTGCAAATACTGAGTATTTCCTCATACCTGGCTGGTGGGAATTGGCACCATTCCCGACTCGGTGTGAGCTCCTGAGACTGTTACCTCTAGTCCTTTCAAGTGGTTCTTGCCTCAGGTAGTGTGCTCACATACATGCTCACTGGGCGCTGTCTGGGTTGTCCCTCTCTGCACCCTGGTAACTCTTTCAGTGTAGTAAGCTGAGGCCATCATAACGTTCACCTCATTTGTTTCCCACCTCTCAAGGATCATTGCCTAACATCCACTGTCTTGAAATGCTTTTATATTTATATATATTTATGTAAGTGCTTTGTATATTTTGTGCATTCTTTGGCTGTTTCCAGAATGGGGGTAAAAATCAGTCTTTGGTATTCCATCTTGTTAAGAAGTAGAGGTCTCTATACAATTAATTTTGACAAGGCTGGGTATAAAATCAAAAGCCACTCAAACTTCATGGTTTAGTCCATATAAGACTATACATCAGAATCACCTAGAACGTTTGTTAAAAAGCAGATTCCTGGGCCTCAGGTCCTAAAATTCAGAATCAGTTTGTCAAGGATGGAGCTGAGAAAAAGTCCATGTGTTAACAAGCTCGTCAGTTGATTCAGATTCCTAGGATCCCCTTTTAAAAAGATATTGCCCTAAATAAGTAAAAGGTCATGAGAAGGGAGGGGATTAATGAAGTTGCCATGTTTGATGTAGCTTGTGCCCAAGTCCAGAGGACATGGGTGGTTATACAGATTTTGCCCTGTCCAAGAATTAAGGACTGAGGAAGTGAGAGAGGGCTGAACACCAGCCAGGATCCCAACTCCCTGCCCCCTGGCCCAATAGCCTGGCCAGCAGGGTTGAATCTGCCCAGAGGAGCCTTGCTGTCCTTAGCCCAGAGGGGCTTTAATGGAATATCAGTGGCAGTTTCCAGAGCTTTCTGTTATTCTGAAGCCATCAAACAATCCTAGAGAGAGATCTAGCAACTAAAATAGAGGAGACATAAACTTTAATCTTCCAACCTAATAAGAAATTTATCTCCTTAAACCATACCTACATTTATTGATTTCTAGCCACACTCAGCTCTCCAAGAGAAATCCAATGTCAAAGATAATGGAGAATTTGGGCTTACACATAGCTGTGTTTGCGGCTCAGTTTCCTTCTGTCTTCATATATTCCCTACTCACATGAACAAAGTTAGATAGAATGCTTCCCCAGAGGCCCCCTATGCATAAAGGCAAGCTATTTTTCTAATACAATAATTCATTGCAAATATATGTTTGTAGACAGGACAAGCTCTTTTACTTTTAGAAAAGTCTGTTATATTGCTTTGGGAATTTTCTTGAGACTTCTTCTGGGGTTTTCTTTTATAGAGCAAGTGTTCCTTTCCTATTAGGCAGAAAGCCTCTTCTCCTGTTCTCCTGCCTGTGGCCCTTGATCTAACCTTGAGCCACCCATACTCTGCTTGACTCTTCCTTCACCTGCTCCCCATTTTCATTCAGCACCTTATATCAGACCCAAAATGACGCCCTTAGCTCCTCAAGCTGCACCCTCAGGCTTGTAACTGTTCTTCTTGTCTGTACGGTCTCCCATAATATCCCTCAGGTAAGAGCTTAGTGGACCTAACACGATGATCTCATGTGTTTACACTCCTCCTTAGGGCAGGTTCTGAAGTCTTCCCTAACTCCCATTCTACCTTTATCTCCCATTATGTGTATGTAATCCCACATTGCATGTATATTACAGATATCCTTCACTGTCTCGTAGATGTGTTTCTAAAGAGTTAATGTTTAAATTTATTGAGTTAAAAAATGCCTGAAACCTAGCAAGAAAAAATATGCAAAGGTTTTTTAAAGAAAATATTGCACAAACTATGGCAAATCATGTCCATGCAACACAGTTTTTGTTAAGTATGGCTTTTTATTTGTGACTTTCCTGAAAGCATGGCTATTCTGGAGCAGGGGAGAGCCATTATTTCTTGGTGACCTTTAAATCCCCATGTGTCACGTCTCTGTTCTGACGCTCTAAGAAGCTATTTCCTGCACTAGGTCTGTTCCTAAAGGAAAGCAGACAGCGGTGCAGCTGCTTGCAGCAGTAGGCATCTCTGTGGGATGCCTTTGGGAACAAAAAAGCTGGATTCTCCTGCCGGGTGTAATTTTACGAGCTCTGTAGGAGAATTTTGTTATGGTCCTTTCTCTCCTGTGCATAATATATACTGATGATTGCTGTGAAAACCAGTTCTTATGGCATTTTCAGAAATCCCAAGTCTTAACAATCATAGAAGTTTAGAGCCGTCTAGAGCATCTTGCACCCATCCACGGATCTCCAAAAGGAGCACATCTCTGTATAATGATATTTTTAATAATGCTACATTACAAGAAAATACATCCTACCTTTATCTGTTTTACATATTGTTTTGCAGTGTGCTCCAGATGTGACAATTAAAATATACATTACTGTTGTTTTAATGCCCCCATTAAGCAGCGTCTAGACTGTAGACTGAGCAAAGAAGACACCATTGCATTCCCATTTCTTATAATAAGGTTCTTTAGCCTCTAATTGGCCTCTCTCTCCTATGAGGGTAGTGCCCCTATTTTCTTTATAGTTTCTATGGTAGATTTGTTACTGCCAAACATATATTGCTTTGGCTGTATTGGTTTAATCTCCCTTACTAACTTATAAATACAGTCAGGACATTATGCAAATGAAAAGCAAAGGTAAATTGAATTTACACTTTATTAAAATCAGACAATCCTTGCAACCCTGATATGATAATATCATAAATTGTACATTTCTCTTTATAAAACTTCAGGTAATGTCTGATTCAAAAACACATGGACTATATGCTAAATGTCCAGTGATACATGAAACTTCTTAAAAACGGTTTAAGGTGAGATTACCTCCTATGGCCACTACTGGACCTATGGCACATTCTGAAACATCAGAGGGTAAGGACAGCACTGTGATACCTTTCTGTTGGAAGTGCTGGCTCACTGGTGGAAGTCTGCATTTTGCAACTTCCCCAATCCTGGACGTTTCACTAACAGGAGGTGAACCTAGTTATGCCTCAACTGAAAAGCTGACTTCTTACAGCTGACACTGTAGCTGGACTACCTGTGGCCTACAAATACTTCCTTGGGGTACTAGGCCCACTTCTAAGTAGAAATGAAAGTGCAGTCCAAAGGGAATCCAAGAGGAGAGAGAAGAAAAGAGGAGCCATGCGACCCCTCCTCTCTCCCAAGAGAAAATCACGTGAAACAGTTGCAGGACCCATGAAAACATCTGATAGCTTATATTTACAAACTAAAATAATGTGATTCCTTTGGGGAAAAAAGAAATCATAGGACCTAAATGCAAACAGTAAACACTGGATTCTTATAACCAAGAGTGTAACTAATATTTTTGTTTGTTTTCCATTAAGGTGTCATATTTGTTTGATAATGGAGGGACAGTCTTCTTTGCTATTTTTATGGCAATATGGGGTAAGTATGTTCTTCCATTACTTACTTCCTAGCCCTCATTTTCTGTGGCTCTTGCTGGGTTTCTTCACACACACACCCACCCCCCAAGTATCAATTTAACAACAAAGCCTCTTGCTTTGGTAGCCCTCTTCACACATTCACTGCTTCTTTGAGAATTTTAACTCTTGATCTAATCCTCTAATCCCTAAAGCCTCGACCTTCCTGTTCTAAGGAGTATATTTTTCCTACCAAAAGCAGGTAGTAATTAAAAACAAACTGAAACGTACTAGAATCCGAATTAGGCTTCTAGTATTTTTGCTCTTGAAAGTGATGCTCAGAAAACTTTTTGTTTGCTTAATATCTCCATTCATCTATTTTTTTAGCCTTGGACTTCATACATTTAGAGACACAGAATCTATTCCATATATGATTGAGCAATAATGTCTAATACATAATAAATCTTGCTCCTAACATCTTAAAACTGAAAATTATATATAGATTATGCTTTGGCTGACTTTTTCACCATGTTTTCATAGAGTTTTTAAAATGACCCAATTAACTGAGGCCTCAAATAAATCAGACAGGTCAGAATTCCTCACCCTTTGAAGGGAATCAGTTACTTCCCTGGTTAGGATCAGCTTTCCTACCACAGCCCTGTTGAATGCAGGCCATTGTCAACCTGGCAAGTGAAGGGGCTGACCGTGTATGTGCTGACACAGAAAAGTACAGGGCATTAGAATGCAGTCCTCTCTCCCATTACCTTAATTTCCCAGGAACAGAGACTCTGTGCCATATTTTCCTTCTAGCTTTAAGGCTAAGTTAAAAAAAAAAAAATCACTCTTCCAATTTTCCTTCAAGAGAATGCCAATCTTGATGCATGGTATAAGGACTCTGGCGGGCAGAAGGTGTGTGCGTGATGGGGGAAGGCAGTAAAGAGTCAGTCAATCCATTGGTTTTTGTCCCCCCCAAACAAAAAAAAGTGAAAATGTAGTTTTGGGTCCCTTTGTTCATTGAAGGATTCCTTTAATTAAATTATCAGGCAGGGTGATCATGGTGAAAGCATTTAGTTTTACCTGATTCCACAAACATTGCCTACTAAGAAAAAAATAGACCAAAATACAAATTAACGTTACTCACTAGATGCTTCAGCATGGCCAAAAACAGTAAGAAAGGAAACCTTTTGGATTATTTCTCCTCTCTTTATGTTTCTGCCACTAGTCTCACACTTTTACAGCTCTCCTTGGCACAAGCTATATGACAGTGATCTTGCTTCAGCTTGTGGAAGATGGGTTTGTGGAAAGGCCAGGACGCAGGCGAACATTTGTCGTCTGAAGACTTTTTCCCTTAGTTTTATATTGAGGTACGAAGTGAAGGTATGTCATCCATAGGAATGCTGTCACGTGCATTTTCTCGGCCTGCTGGCAAGGATGAGTCATTCACAGTTGGGTTGTAATAACTAGAATTCCCAAAACTTACATCATACGGTTCCGGTGCATTGTCTAATCGCAGCACTAAAAAAGTAACAAAAAATTGTTTTGTGGTGACAGTCTGGAAGATGCACGCTCAGGCATCTGCCAGACTATAGGAATTGTTCTAGATGAGTAAATAGGTCTGTCTTTTATATGGGCTTTGCAAATATTACTTTTGAGATTTTAAATAAGTAGATATTTTTCAAGCCACATTTCTTTCCAAGACTAAGAGAACAGTTTAACTTCCAAAATTTCACGGCTGGTGGACCAAAAATAAGGGAACTAAGGGAGAGATGACAACAAAAATATAGCAATACTTGATATAAAGAAGTATAGATATATGCCTCATTGACTTTTGAAGCTTGTGAATGCAGAGCCTTGTCAGCATATTCGGAGTTTTTATTTGTGGTGTAAAAAATAATTTTTAAACAGTGAAGAGCTAAAATCAGTGTCATGATTTTCCAAGTGGCTCAATAGCCTTATGGTTGAGTGAAGGTGGAAACAGAAGAAAAATATTTTTAAAAGTTTATGTTTCCTTCCAATAGATCCAAGTTATGAGCTTGAGGTTTTCTGATTAACGATATAGGAGATTTTTTTTTTTCTTTTTCAACAAACAGCCAATTTCTTTAATGATCTTGAATTTATTTTCAAAGAAACCTTGGCATGTACTAGGTATCTTTAAATACTTAAGTAGTGACTAATTAGATCGGTGGTCTAATTTTTCAGTTAGTTATTCTCATATCCTACCTATTCCTTAAGGCATCTGTTTACAAACTGGGCTCCCAGGAACCTTAGGGATTTGAGAGAGGTGTCTCAAAGCTGTCTTGAGGGAGTCAAACAAAAGTGAGATTCGGTGGTTCCCTTGTGCCTCAATCACAACACCTTAGATTGTCTCAGTTTGCTAGACTGAACCTTTGCGTGTGATTATAGATAAAAGATTCTGAGATTAAAGAAAGTTTGGAAACCCCTGTTGTTCGAAATCCTATCCTTTAATTTTGAAAAGTGCCACTTCTTTATTTTATATGCATTGCTAGAAACCCATAAGCAGAATTCAGTTAAATTTAAAATAATGTGTTTGACTCTGAAAATGAACAATATGTCAGGCAAGACCTGAACTTATGAAAAATCAACAAGACTTTATCAAGGGGATCCACCAGGGACATTTAACTATTTTTTTATGCTGGCAGGTGCCCCTTGTGTAAACCAGAAATCAGATTTTTTTTTTTTTCTCCTGAAGTATAAAAAAACAGATGAGTCAAGCATTTGAAGTGATTTCATTTCTGTTCCAATTAATGTTATATAATTAAGCTCAAACTCAGTGCTTTGTTCTTAGCAGATACATTTGTCATTCATAGATATGGTTGGTCGTTTCCATCACATGAGTAGAACATTCCTGAATTAAGGTATAATGTGGCTTTATGTACCCATGTATGCAACTCTTTAGAGATTCTGTTTTAGAGACTCATTAGGATAATTAATAGAGGGCTACTCTGTGTAAATTTTTGAAGAGCTCCAGATTAGAGTAAATTATTATTCAAATTACTGCTACTAAGAGTTCGAACAATGGCAGAGAATGGCTTTGCAGTTACTTGCTAACAAAAATGGCCATTTTTTCCTTAATATCATACCATTATCTTCCAATTTTATAGATATGTTTTAGGTTCTGGGATTATTATTTAAACAAATTGTGATGCAATTAGCAACAGTTCCAAATGGCTCTTTAATTTCACTCACAGGTCCATGATTATTTTGGTTGTGTTCTGTGAGAAACAGAGAGCATTAAATCTTTAGTCTGTTTCTGTCGTATGAATCTCTGAAACCCTTCTAGATAAGGTGGTGAACATTAGCATCCTCACTTAATTGAAACCATTGTGTGCAGGTGAAATTCTGAATGTTGTTTTTACCTGGTTCATTTCTGTCGTCATAAAGTCGCCGATGGGAAAATGACTCCGTTTTCTTTTTTCCACACAACAAGTAGCCAACGAGACTCAGCAATGAGGCACCCAGAATAGCACCTAAAATGGCCCCAAACACCACTCCTGTATTTCTGTTCTCTGGAGAGGAAAAAATAATTTACAGATAAGAAATAGAAAATAATTACTCAAAGAACAGAAATATATACATGGACTTGCTGTATTCCAAAGAATGTTTAACAATGTTAACAATTTTTTAAAAATTAGATAATGGTGACGTGTGTGTATGTTTTATAAATTACTGAGTGTTTGAGATGTACTGGCAAATATACTTCCTGACAAAACCACACTTCAAATTTTGAATTACCTTGAAATACTTCTAAGTTTTAGTTTTATAACTCTCTTGTTACTTATTAACACTAATAGTACTGAAATGCCATGTGTATGCTTCATTAAGATCTAATTTCTATGTTGAATGCTATATTAAGTTTTTAATCAACTCTGAATCTCCGATGGTCTTTAATGATGAAATGAACTTTGAACTTATTTCTATAATAATTCAAAAGCAAAAAGCTAATGGGAGTAAGCAGGTAGTAGAAAATTAATCCTCAAAACCCCAAGTGAAAAGGCGCTATAAGGAAAAAGCAATATATTCTGATGCAGGATCTTTCCAAATACAACCAATAGACCAAAGCAAGATATTTGCGGTGCCCTGCACATCAAGAACAGATGTGTAGGTCTGAGTTTGAGAGAGTCCAAATTTCACTCTATCATCCCCTTTACCGAGTACCTTATTTGAAGACTAAGTCATCAATAAACTACTTAATGCTCTCTGAACTCATATTTAGTATATTTTATTTTCAATGTTTTTTTTTTCATTTCTTAAGAAGCTTATTAATTAGGTAGACAAGGGGTCTTATAGGGTCTCTAATTCTATACAAAACTCCATTTATAAAAACATAATTAGGGGCTGGCCCCGTGGCCTAGTGGTTGAGTTTGGTGTACTCCGCTTAGGTGGCCTGGGTTAGGTTCCAGAATGGGCCTGCACCACTCATTGGCAACCATGCTGTGGCAGTGACCCACATATAAAATAGAGGAAGGCTGGCACAGATGGTAGCTCAGGGCGAATCTTCTTCAAGCAAAAAGAGGAAGATTGGTAACAGATGTTATCTCAGGGTGAATCTTCCTCAGCGAAAAAAAAAATTAACCTTCACGTTGGAAGATAAACAGCAAAATTATTGCTAAAATAAAGGTGAAGCAAAATTAACTAAGTTTATTTTGATTAAAGGGCGATGGTACGAGTTCATATTGAGTATTCTCAATATGTATATTGGGTTTAGAGAAAGAAAAGAGAGAATATCTTTTTAAAAATATTTCTGATGGAATATCAAAATATATATGAATGAAATAATTTGTTAAAATCGTAGATAAAATTAAAATATATGTACATATAATATATTGGTTGCAGTGCTACAATAAAGCCTAGATTTCAAAACTTAGAACTGTTCCTGTACACTAGCCGCAACTTTCAAATAGGAATTTTTATATATGATTTGGTATTTACATCATTAATATAATCTGCTCGTAAGTTGTATTAGAAATCAGTGAATTCATAAGGGGAAAAAAGAATATTTTTTTAAATTTTCAGGGAAAGAAAAACATGGTTAGACCTGAAAAAATAAAACATAATAAATTTTCATTAAATATTAGAGATCTTTTCTACTTTTTGTTTTAAAACTTGATGTAATCCCTCAAATGAAACATAAAAATCTCCCCATAATACAATTTTCTTGTGATACTCGCAGCAAAATTCCATTTTTATTATGTTCATTAGGTGCTAAACTAAAAATTAAGGAGTATTTCTTTTCGTTGAGTTTATTTAAATTTTTTTTAGTATCAGTCTTCTATTTTCCTGTGATTGCTATGTGGTACCAGATAATTTATAAATTCATTTATTTCATTCAATTTTCAAAACTCACATACATATATTTTTAAAGTTTAATTGTATGGTATTCTAAAAGCACATGAAATTTCAGGTAGTCTTTCAAAGATTCAATGAAAATTGTTACCTAGTGTCTCAAAACTGTACCATTACCTGTCTCTCCTTCCTTTCAAACTAACTTTTCTCATTTTGTCCCACTGTCTCATCATGTTCCCATATAGTAATAACTAGTATTTCCTGACTTAAGCCCTGAAATCCCTTCACTATTTCCAGTGAATATCATGGTTGCCCCCCAAAAGTGAGAACTGACTGTGCTGTTGCAGTCTCCTCGTTTTTTCTAGTATGGTACATTCCTTAGACATAATCTGTATGAATTATTTGAAGATTCAACTTTATACAAAAGGAAAGTTAAATCCATTTATATTTACCTTCTTGAGGGTCTGGTGTATTTGGAAAGATTTTTGAATTATTGGTGAATTTTAAGGTGGGCTGTAGAGTTGTTGTTTCTTGATAGGGGGTAAACCCCACCGAGCTATCACTGGTTGGGGTAAGCCATTCATCTGGTTCCGTTGTCATGGGGGTCACAGACATGGTGTTTGGTGCTGAAGGGAGGATGCTAATTGTAGTGGAACTGTTGTCAGGAGTTTTCATGGTATCGTTGGCCGAAGACCAAGTAACATTTTCTGAAGATATGGCAGATGTAGCACTGGCAGGTGCTGAGGCTGGCAGAGGATTTTCATCTGCTATAGATGAGTTCCAAGGTAATTTAGAAACAAAGCTGTGGATCAAGGGAGGGCTGATGGAGAACATGGGTGTGGGTCTTGGGCTCCTGGTAAAGTTGTCTGGTGATAAATTGTTGAAGGAATCTGTTGTTCTATGGATTTTATTTGATGGATCCCAAGAAGAGGAATTATTTGCCTTGAGAAAGGAGGTTTCTCTATATTCTTTATCTGAGTTTAAATTTGCTTCAGTTCCAAAAGGAACAGATTCATTTTCTATTTTTTTCAAGCCTTCTGCAATGCTTTGTGTTGTGTTAATTTCTAGACCTTCCCCATGGCTTCCAAATAGTAGTAAACTAAACAAAGTTGAAATCAACAGAATTTTGGCTGAGGTGAACATTGTAGCCTTCTTTGGTATTGATGTTATTAAGGGGAATCTGAAAGAAAATAACAACCATTTGAATTATTAAATTAAGTATTGAGGCTTTTTTAATTGGATCTACATTTTTAAAGTGATAAAAATCTAGAGACATAATGCTAAGATGATAATAGCATACTCTTTATTCAACAATTTTATTTTCCTTGGATTATGTACTAAAACTAAAGTCACTGCATTATATTATTCATATAATATTTCTTCCTTCCTTCCTCTAGGCAAATGCCATGTGAAAACTTTGTCAAGTCAGACACCACTATTCCATTATTTCAAAGATCATTTAGGTTGGGACAAGTTGAAATATATATAATTATATATGGACTGCTAAGTAAAACTTTTTATATATTGTAAATATAGGGCATGTAGAGCTGTCTGATTTCTTCAACTTATTTAAGAAAACATGTTCTTTCTAAAGATGTGATTTGGGAGATTTATTACGAAGCTGACGTTACTGATTATATACTAAGCGTACCGCTTTAAAGTGAGTCAGTCAGGAACGCAACTTGAAAACATTTTATTAGTACCCGATTTGAGTTTTTTGAATTTGAAATTAACATCCTTTTTTTCACGGTACTCTTCATGATGCCCTTTGCCCTATTAATTCCAAATTAGAGAAAATCAGAAAGACTTCTGGATTTTAGCATGTTTAATTGTATTCCCTTACTGTATAAATGAAGAGTCTGGTTGGGAGTGGGTGTGGAAAAAATGACCTAGCTAGATAGTGGCAGAGTTGGGGTTTGAAACCATGGTCCTGACCTCCAATCCAGGCACATCATTCTGCCTCTTAAGTGTGGAAGTGCCACAGTTCATGGATAGGAGGATATGAGGAAAAGATTTTGAAATTAGATTTATATTAGAATTCTGGCTTCTGTCACTAATAACCTGTAAAAAACAATCATCATAATAAGCAATTGCTTTATCATCATAACAATCTGATTTCACAGTGTTCTGAAGACTAAACGAGATGATTTAGGTATAAGTACTCTGAACAATATCTGGCCTAAAGTAAGCAGTTAATAAACATTAACTTCCATTTATTACTATTAAAATATAATAATATTTCTACAAGTGTCGTACATAAGTTGACAGAGTTTACAATATCATCTCACTTGATCCTCACAATGATCCTTGAGGCAAAAAGAATAGCTTCTATTATCCTCATTTTGCAGATGAAGCAGCTGAGGTTCAGAGTGCCTAGTAATGGAAGCTAGTAAATGGAAGAGGCGACACGGAAAGCCAAGTCTACTGACTCTAACCTAGCTGGATGCTAGAATTTAAAGTGTTTTTAATTGAAAAAAATATTCTTTAAAAAAGTGTTAGACTATTCCTCCTCAAACAATAAAGTCTGAGAACCGATGTCCTATTCTTTGAATTGGACCTTAGAGCTTATTTGTCACTAAAATCCTCCAGGAAGACTGAGATAAGAAAAGGGAGGAGGTGCAACTGGTATTGTTTAGGTCCAGTACTACCTGCCATTTCTTACAAGCTCTCCCAGAAATTTTTACAAGTATCTCCCACCTTGATGATTTTTCTTTAGGGTCTGAGGAGCCTCTAAAGATCCTCTGATTATCGCTTGGTTTTAAGGGCCTCCTCCTTGCTGAATGATTTCTTTCATAGTGGCACAACCTAAATATATCTATAATACATCCTGATATAATATTTTCTTCAAAAGCTTTTAGCAAGCAGTCCGTTCCTGTGGATTCCTAAGGTTTTAGTGATATAATATCTTCCATGCTTTTTGCTTATCACTTAAAAAAAGTCTACTTAAAAAGTAAGGCAGGCAGACCTACAAGAACATTCACAGGGGCATTATTTGTAAGTGTCTCAACCTAAACATCCATCAGTAATAGACTGGATAATAAATTCTGTAATAATCATACCTGAAAATTCACAAACTAGAGCTGCATACAACAACATGGATGATTATAACAAACGTAGTGCAGAGCTTAAAATTCCAGTTGTACTGTGTGACTCCATGTATATGAAGTACAAAAACAGGCAAAAAACTAGAATGTTAGAGGTTAGGTTGCTGTGGGAAGGAAAGAGACAATATTTACTGGGTGAGCGTGGATGGGCTGCTGTGTGCTCCTGACACTCTGTTTCTTGATCTGGTAGGGGCTATATAGGGGTTTGCATTTGTGATAATTCTATTTATTTATATTTCATTCATTTTTCTGTGATAACCAAGAAAATTCAGTTAGATCCTAAAGCATTATTAACATAATTGGAAAGCATATACACTATTATGCATTTATTATATCAGATGCTTTGCATATTTTCTCTTTTAACTCTTACTAAAAACTAGCAAACAATGAGGAAGGGATTATTAATCCTATTTTATAGATGATTAAATGGGGTTTAAAAAATGTAAATAATGCGTCCAAAGACACACAGCTAGTGACTGAGAGATAGGGTTAGGATTCCAACCTTGGCCTTAAAGCTAGTAATCACTCATCTATCTGACAAAAGTTACAAAGGAATATCGAATTTCATACTCAGCTACTTTTTCCCACCAACATTTTCATAGCACGCCTTCTCCAAATTTTCTTATTTTAACCAAAGCAATTTATTATCCCATTTTTTTAAGCACTGGAAAAATAGGGCCTTCTACCTGAAGTACCTCTCAAACACACTAAATACACTTTTATTCTAATTTAAGAAAACCCCAACAGTTGTCTCTGTGGTTTCTAGTTGGGCACCTTTACCATGTAGTTTACAGATTAACATTAACAAAACGAGTGATTATTCCCAGGACCTGTAGTTCACCAACATTTCGCTGAACTGATGCCTCACCTAGCACATTTAAAATGCAATTCAGTTTAGTGTAAAACTACTTACAAGTACCTTATCAGAAACATCTTTCTCCTGTAACTCAAGTTCACAGCAAATGTCAGAGCTCTTTCATTATCTGCTGCCGGTAATCTGATTAGTTGATGAATTGGACTTGGCCGCCTGTTTTATCATTATCATGGAGTTGGGTTTACGTTCTCTACACCTAGGCTTTCTGGTTATTTTCTCTTCCTAATGAAGTGATCACCAGAGGAGAAAATCAGCTCTCTGCTGTTCTTCTACTTTTCTCATATTGTTACATGAGGAGCGTGGCCTTGAGCTTTCGCTCCCTTCCCGTAAGGAGAACCTACATACCAAGAGTCAACAAAGTGAGTTTTGTTGTTCCTGTTTCACTTTGCCTGTAACATTGAACCACCAGGGGATCTCTCTACCCTTCACCCAGCTTCTGACTGTAACTTGAAAACCTAAGGTATCAACACCCCAAATAAGCGAAGCCTTCTGTTACTGCCTATAATTTATCTCCAGGGAAAAGAGAGAAAGGGAAAAGAGGGATGAGACAGTATATTGTGAATACTATTTGCAGTTTGTTCTGAAATTAATACAGTTGTAGGTAAGGCTATAACTTTGCTTTGCTCCCTGGCTTCTAAGAGAACCAGGTTACACCTGTTACTCAGATCCCTTCATCTTAAAGGGATAGAAGCAGCCAGGAATTGAAGCCATCAGCTATCCCGAACCCCAGCCCTGGACTTTTGCTGGAGCAAGGACTAGGAAATTCTGGTTAAGTTTGACCCTATTCTGAATTGAGCAAAACATATGCTTGTAAACAGCAAAGGCTAATGCAGGTGAAACAGAAGCTCCAGAGGGCAGTAAAAGAAATCTGTATTCCTTCCCTTTGCATGTTTCTCTCAGCCCCTCTCCATCTCTAGAGTTCAAATATCTAAGCTGTTACACACTTGTTATGTAAAGCTAAAGTTATGCTTTATGATGGATGGCATACTGGTGCGTGCCAAAGTTCATCTTTCAACCAGGTACACTGTGGAGGCAGAAAGAAGATGAGATGAAAGAAAAGTGCAATTGTAGGAGAGAAAATCAGGAGAACCAGGTAGCATCATTTCCCCTCCTGTTCTTAGCCTCTTCTTGCCCCTAGGTGGAAACTCCTAAGAGGAACTTTGAAGGTGTAACATAGAAACAGAGCTAAGATCACTACAAACTTGAAAAACTCCTAGGATTAGAATTATCTGTTCCCTATAGGGAACAGAAAAAAGAACAGGATCTCCAGCCACTGTGTGGTACCTTAAACACAGATTCTAAACCTTTCTATATATATTGAAATGTTTGTATTGTTTCTAGTATTTCACAATTTTTAAAGTTTACTTTCGAAGTGTGAGTTTCACTGCTTACTACTTTTTAAATAATTCCTCTCCACAGAGAAAATGAACACTACTTTCTGCCCTGTCTTTGGTGGTGGCAATAAAAAGCAGTTTCACATTACTACTTTTGTATGGAGGGCTGCAGGAGGTGGTGAGAGAGGGAAAAAATGTGACCATGAAGGAAGCAAATCCACATTCTCCGTGCATAATTTTGCTTCTCCTTAAATGCATAAAGTCATTATCCTACCCAGCCCTGCTGTTGTAACTGAGTCATACCAATTTTATACCAAGCTTTGAAATTAAGAAGGTACTCTGGTTTATGTCAGGTAATCAACCCATGCAAGGGAAGAGAAATGCGAGTCATTCTAAACTCAGTCAAAACCAGAAATTTTAAATAAACATATTAGTAGAGGTACACTGAGGGAGTAATATAAAAACATGTTTCTGCAGTGAAATAACGAAAGAGTATGCACTGTGTCACTTCTCTCAGTTGCTTTTCATCATTTCTTGTTATAGATGTCAGGCTACAAATTAAGATAGATGGGTTTTCTTTGTCTTTGTCCTAGGAAACTTAGTCTGACATGTAGCCCGTATCCTAGGCACACCTTCAGTGTGACTTTGAGTGGCCTTTAAAACTCTTGGACAGTATTTTGCTTTCCCTAAATGAAAGAGCCACAATAAATTAGGACATAACGAATTATATTTCTAGAAATGCCTCTTTTATAGGAGGGCTTTAAAAAGGTGAGAAGACTTAACTAGCCAGAAAGTAGGATTGTACCTGAGGAACTTAGACATATCATTTCACTTTTGTTTGATTTAAAGAAATGAAAAAAAATAAAAAGAAAAGAAAAATATGACTTTCCTTCAGGAAAAAAATTTCAAAGCTTTGTGAATATCATTCTAATTAACAGACTGGTGTGCATAAATCCAGGAAAATTCTACAGAAGGTCACACTGCCTGCTGCTAACTTGGGTGTTCTCAGTCATAAACTTCAATACTACAACAGTTAGGTGGAAGGGTGTCAAGCTTAGAAAGAAGGACTGTGCCTTCAAAAGAAATATTCTGGACCTAAATCCCCAAGCATGGGATTTTCAGCCTTCTATCATGTTTCACTGGCAGAAGAAACAGCATCTATGGACCAAATAGAAGGTGGGTAAATGGTAAATTGACATCCCTTTGATAAAAGGAGGCTTAGTTAGCCGCAAACTGAAAAAGATTTTAAGAAACTTTATCCACGTCCTTATTCCACAGAGTGTCTTCTGTGGCAACTGACTTAGCTTTTTAGATTTCCAGTGAGTGCTAGACATGTGCACATACCGTCTAAGTAAAGTAATTATATACACAACATTTGCCAATTTTTTGATTAAGAAAATCTTTGGCAAAGATGTATAGAAGTTTGTAACTCATCATATTAGAAGATTGTTTTTCAAAAACTCTCGTATTCTAATACTTTAGCAAGAACCTTTAAGTGCAAATGCATTTTAATCTAAATATTCAATTTATATGTTTATGTCACTATTTCCACTTTAAACATTTGGAAACTTTTACTAAGATATGACTTAAAGAAACTCTCTCTCATAGTCATGTATGCTTTATGTAAGGTTTATATTGAGCTCTTCATCTGGTTTCATCATCTAGCAAATTTGGCAGTAATTCTTAAAGTTAACTCACTCAACAGTGCAAATGCTCATTTGGAAGGTAATTACTTAATGAAACAACTACCTGTCTTTCTCCATAGCTCCCTGTCAGACTCTTCTGTCAAAAGTTGAGCCTGCTTTTGTGCCGTTTGGTAAATAAATGAAAGAGAGAGAGCGAGAGAGAGATGGAGGAGGAGGGATCCTCTGTGACCCAGCACACTTACCTTCAGGTCTAGGAGGTGTTTACAACCAGGAACTGAAATATCACAGCTGTCCTGGCTGGAATAAGTCTGCTGTGCATTGGAGAAAACAAACGGGTTAAGTGTGCCGATGTTCCACTGAGCAGGAGGGTGCCAGAGAAGCAAAATTGGGCGGGGCCAGACTATCTTGCCTGTGTAATAGAGCACCCAAGAACCTGACTGACCTGCTTCTCAGCTGTCAGCATGAAGATATCACCTCATTCAGGCGTTAAAAAAAAAAGCCCAGCCCTCCAGCTTTCATAGGTTGGTTGTTTTGACTTGGGGCGGGCTAGTTCTCTTGAGCTGCGGCAAAACAAGGGGCATCCATTTCTTGCCCTCAGCGAAAAAAAAGACAAGATTTTGGTAACGTCCCCTGGTGTATCTGGAATTTCTAACATATGCTGAGTTCCCCCTTTGCAGGTGAGGAAACCAAAGTGAGTCAGACCCTGCACCTGTAGCTCTGTGCTGGCCCCGTGTTGCTCTCCTAACTCATAAACAGATCTTTCTTTCCCATAGTAAGGTGCCGTATTCTGTACTTAAAACCTGAATGGAGAAGGTGTAGTCAGGTCCATGGTGAGGGGCCCTGTCTGCAGTGCACTGAGATCGCTTGTATAGAAGGACACACTTACGACAAAGTGAATTGATGTGTACTGGGATCCTTGATAAAACTGCGAAGCATTACGTAGAAATAATCACCAGGACTGAGATGAGGTTTCTTGCTGACTTTCAGGCATTTGGGGAGTATCTGGGGCCTGTCTGAAAATGGCCACGTGATCCTGAGTAGTCCTGGGAGCCTTCTCGATTAAGTCGTTTCCATCCTGTGCTCTCTTTGCTCACTCTCAATTTAGAAGCTGGAGAGTTTCAGAAGTGCCAGGCAATGCTTGATTAAGTACTGGAGTTGAAGAGCAACCTGGCATACTTCCTTCACTTCCTTTCATGGCTTATGAAAGGGAGAAGAGTGAAGCTGCACTTTCTGGGACACTCTGCACATCAACGTTTGGGGACTGGCGCCAAGGTCTGTTCAGCTCAGTATGCCTGAGGTTTATGCTTAGTTTTTGTTGTGCGACCAGATAGATTTCCACTGCTGAGAGAGAAAATGAAACTTTAGCTAAGGTTCAGGAACTTCAAATTGAATGCAAAGAATCTGCCCAGTTATATGGCCCCAGGAAAGAACAGGTAATTCCATAGTTTTAAATTTTCTGAAGCCCAAAGACCCCTTCAGAGTTTGATTAGAAATTAAGCCAACCCCTAAAACATATTTACTCAAGGATATTTAAGCTGTATCTTCACTGGTATGAAGAAAAGCAACTTAAATTTAACCAAAGAACTGGTTAATGGGCAGTGGCTTAATAGAATTCTGTTGGTTATTTTCAAATTAGCCAGTTGCTAGGAAAAAATTCAACTGAAAAAAATATTTTATGTCTGTACTTAGAGAACTGAACATGACTTGGCAGGATTGGGTATACCATACCCTTAGGGATTTTCCTAGATATGTGTGTGAATATCATTACCACTTTCTGACTTGACCATAAATTATGGCCTATACCAGGCATGGAAATTACAAGGCACTTTTGCTACAACTCTGCTTTCACTGCCGTGAGAGTCAAAGCTCATCTCCCATGCCCCTCTTTTCTAAAGACCCTAGCTGTGGCCTCATAATCCTTTTCATCATTGCCCTCCTGACAACCATAGCCAATTGGTTAGAACTGACTCTAGTGATAAACCCCATTTACCCTCCCCATCATGAGCACATCTGGAAGTAAAGCCATAAAATGCAAACTATGCATAAATTTAATGCCTCAGTTATTACTTAGCTCACTTGGTTGTGATCAGAAACTTTTGTGAAATCACCTGAGTGGGAGTTAAAAAGTAATTTCTTGCCAAACAAGTCTCTCTGAGATACTTTTCCAGGTATATATCATGTTCTAGGTAGGACTGATCCCATTTTGGACCTTGTTTCTCCAGAGAAACTCAACAATAAGAGACAATTACCAGACAATTTGATCAGCCAGGCCAGCTGAGATGACACACTGTGCAATGCTTACTTAGCCACTGTGGTGCCTTTCATCTGGAACCCTCCTGTTTCTTCACACCCATTAATTAAGTCTCACAATATGTATTAGAAGAAGACATAACTCCTCTTTGTCTGAAATGGTGGAACCACTTACAAGTGGAGTTTCCAGAATACGAAATCACATTGTCACTGATGGATCTGAAAATAGAACCAGAATGTAGCTTGGGACCATGCCTCAAATAAAATTAAAACATTGCTCTAGATCCAAAATGGCATCTTTTTTTACAAATCCTGTAGCATCACATGCCTGATGCTGATGTCACACATAGAGAATTTCTTTTCATAGATCAAATTCATTAATAGCAGGTTCTGAGTTTGAAAAGATATAAGTTGAATTCATGTTTTGTCTCCCCCTCGGAGCATGGACACTTTTGTGCAAAAAAGAAATACTTGATGAATAATAAAATAAATAACATCATGGCTGTATTATCTGAGAATACTTCAATGATAGACTTTATAAATACAATGGAAATTGATGGCTGAAAATTTTCTTTAGGATGATAACAGCTGTTTCAATCTTCTGTTAGAAGAGAAATAGAGGGATTATTCATGAATGCTGACAGTTATTTAACATACAAGCTTGTCTTTTTTCCAGTTAAGTCATATGGTGATATAATATGGTCTTCTTCATTTAACTTTAACTTTATGAAAGGTCAAACCATTCATTTTGGCCCTAAGGACATTCTAGGACAATGTCATTTGTTAAGTAGAGACTGTGACATAGCATATACACACATGCAAGTGTATGTACTTGCATGCATACATACATAAATGGGGATCTAAGAAATGTTGTAAAACTGGTAAAGCACATACAAACTTTAATTCAGTTCGAAGAAGTGAATGACCTAACTGTAACAAATCCTATTGTATTCCTATCTACACATTATGTGAGCATGTTTTCTCAGTAAATAGCCTTATAAAGACAAAAAATTAAAATAGAGTTGATGCTAAAACCTATCTCGTTGTAGTAATAAGTAAGAGGCATCCATGGATACCTGAGCCAGTTGAAAAACAAACAAAAAGCCCACTGATATCCTCAAGACATGTGTTTATAAGAAAATCTTAGATTTTATGTTTAATATTAATTAAATTTTGCAATAAATTCTATTTTATTGTAATGATAACAATTCAGATTGGTTTTTTAAAGTAAGAGCCTCATGTTCACAGGGAATTTTAAAAATTATTTTAAGTGCAATGATTGACCCTTAAGATGCATAAAGAAGAAGGTGAGGGCATGAGGGGGGAAAGGACAGTGAAAATACGATGGAGTCAATGGATTGAAAATCTGGATCCAGGGATTGTTGGAAGTGGAGTTTACAGGAAGTGGATTACAAGGATGGAGGTGATAATTGGAGATTATGGAGGGTCTGCAGCCATTGATCAAAAGTATGCCGTGGGAGTACATGAGTGAGGTAGAGTTGGAGAAAACAACTTTGGAGATAGAGAGTGAAGAACTGAGAAGCTAAGGTCCTGGAAGTATTATCTGTGTATATTGTAATTTCAAAGAATTATTTTGGGAGTCATGTTGATAAGAGTTACTTTAAGCCAAGAGTTAAAAAAACTTTCAGAGAAGAGTGGAAGTGTCCCCAGGGAGCAGTAGATTACTTCCACAAGGAGAGAGTAGGAATTATGGATTTATAATGTAAGACTCAAATCTGTGAATCTTTAAGGAGGAGGGAGAGAAAATGGTCTTGAAGCGGCAATGAGGAGGAGGAAATTTGATACCTCATCTTCAGTACCTGTTGGCATGGGAGACAAATAACCAACTCCTGAGGATGCCACATGGAACATGGGGTTTCAGGGGTGTCCCAGGTTTCAGTTAGAGCAAGAATGTGAGAGAACATAAAAGACTTTGCTGTTCATGACTTTGAGTGAAAGAGGGCGTGGGGAAAGTGTCTCAAAGAGTTGGGAAGGAGTGGGAGATGGTCACAAAGGCAATCCCCATTTCCCTAGAACTAGAGGATCAGAATCTGAGGGTAAGGGGTTGATCTGGAAATTTTGGTCTTGAGGTAACTGATACGAACAGAGTTTAGGAGCATAACGATTTAGTCCTGATGCACCCAACTGTGAGTGATGACAGGAGGGAAAGGCGCATGTGTGTGTGCACACGCATGTTTGTGTAGGATATGGGGATGAGGGCATCTTGCCAAGATGGAGTTCTGGGCTCCCTCTAGGCTCCTGCTGATAGAAGAGTTGTGAAGTGAAGGCTCTTATTCCTAGTACCCGAAACAACTTTTCAACCGTGCAAGTAACAGCCTGCTGGCAAATGATATTTCTCTCTTTAACAATGACATGATGTTCTGTTGTGTGGAAGTACCATGCACCTGATGGATTCCTGTATGATGGAGGATATACTGTTATACAACTTTCCTTCTTTTAGAACCCTAATTTTGTTATAGAGTCTAATCTGTTTAGACAACTGTTGCCCAGTTTATCAACTATGTAATCTATTTTTAGATGGACAATTAAGTGAAGTTACAACCAGACAGAAATATAATAAAATGGCGAAACTGGCAGATTAATAATGTTATAACTTATTTTGCCACTTTTAGGAAAAGATCCAAATGCTTTATTAATGCTTTCTGAAAAAAAAAATATTAAGGCAGATAATTAGGAAGTCCTGACATCTCTAATTCGTTTCTTTCTAATTAGAAAAGTTGAAATAGCTCCATAATAACCCAGGTGTCAGCAGCAGTCGTTGTTATTCACTGAGTGTTCTCAGCACTGAGCCTTGACCTGGAAAGGGGCAAGGTAAGGAAAGAATGAGGGGCCTCGTCTAGGTCCTTACACTCTGAAGGAGCATCTTGATTTGTTCCTTGGCTCAAAAGCCAGGACAGAAGAAAAGGAAACCTGTGACCTGAAGGGGGTTTGAAATCCAGTTTAAGGGTGAATGTACAATGATGGTGGTATTTTCGTCCACTTAGAGGAATATCAGGGCCTAAACACTTGGTAGAGAACAATGAAAACATGTTCTGTTAACTAACCTGACAGTTCCTAGAAGCTCTTAGCTACAGAAAAACGAAGAAATCTTTGTGCTGAATCAGGAGAGACTCCAGAAAGGACATGAGAGAGGGTGGCCTTGTGAGAAAGCCCCTCCTCGGAATGGGTGTCTGAAACCAGAACCCCTGCCCTAGGAGTCAGAGTGAGCTGGAGTACAGAGTTGAGTGCATTTTGAGGCAAGTTCATTAAGCTTTCTAAACTTTGGTATCATTGCCAATAAAATAGCAGTAAAATGATTTCTTGTACATCAAGCTGTGAGGATTTATGGAGTTAACGTGTGTACAACATTTAGCAGAGAGGCTGACACATGGGTGTTTGATGCATTATAGCTATGTATGACAAGGAGATATACAATTTTGGAGGCTCTCTTTAAGAAAAGAATACAAAATTATGAATATAAATGAGGTACAAAAGTATCTGGAAAAATCACAAATTTACAAATTTTAAAAAGCTCCAAAATACACAGAAAACCAAAAGCCGGAAAAACAACATTTTAACTAACTTCCTGACACATCTCTGTAATGCTTTATGTCTGCAATTTTTTTACCTCTTATATTTAAAAAGATATTTCAGAGAAACTATAGAAAAGTAGTTCAGTCTTTCCTCTTCCTCTAGAATGGTTAATTGAAAGTTATTTTTTTATTATTGCTAGTTTTGAAAAGTTTATTTCAGCTTCATTCATTACTGGTAATGTCACGTACATTTGTAATATTCTCATAAATTTGAGAAAATCTCTAGTATGTTTCATATATGAGATGAAATTTTGGAAATAGTTTTTCCATAGAGTGGTTTCTGGCTCCATATATTTCAGATCTTATTTCTTTTCCATTATCAGTGGTGGACACCATAGGCCACGTGCACCTCACCATCAACCCCTGGCCTGATACCTGAAAGATTCAGCATATGACCTGGAAGGAGTTTCCTCAGAATCCATGGCTACATTTGGATAGTTAGTAATAATTGAGCAACACAAGGAAGTGCCTGCAAACCACATAAATATATCTTACTAAACCCAAACGAAATGTATCCCGGACTCAACATTTCCATTAGTCAACTGTCAAAAACACCCCTGGCCACCACTCTACCACCCAATATTTGAGGAAGTCAGAGATTCTGGCTGTGTCTACAGGGAGCTTTTAGTTACATGAAAAGTGTAAATATAAAAAATGTAATTGTTCTT